CCCTTTATGCAATGGTTGTCATATATATTAATGTCGGCAACATACATTGTAAACCACATGATACAGTGTTATACGTTTTGGTTTAGATAGTTTTATGCATTATAAAGAAATTTAGAGGGGAAAAAGAAAAGATAGTCTTTTGCATTTAATCAGATATCTACCATTTATAATGCTTTTCATTCTTTTCTGATGATCCAGAGTTTCATCTGGCACACTTTCTCTTCAACCGCTGGCACATCTCATAATGCAGGTCTCCTGGCAACTAACTGATTCACTTAGTTAAAACTATTCATTTAAAGGATATTATACTTTTATTTGAGCATACCGCTAATTGGGCGGAACTAAAACTTCAAATTCTGTCTTTTCTGTGTTGGACAGCAGCTAAAATTTCTCTTCTGTTCTTTTAGCTTGAGCTAGGCTACTTGGATGGAGACATTGGTGGTTAAGAGGTAGAATTCTTGCCTCCCATGTGGGAGACCCAAGTTCGATTCCCAGCCGTGCACCTCAAACACAGCCACCACCCATCTGTCAGTGGAGGCTTGCGTGTTGCTATGATGCTGAGCAGGGTTCAGCAGAGCTTCCAGACTAAGACGGACTAGGAAGAATGACCTGCTGATCTACTTCCAAAAATCAGCCAATGAACTCCATGGATCACGAAGGTCCAATCTGCAACCAATCATGGGGATGGTGCGGGACTGGGCAGTGTTTCATTCTCTTGTGCATGGGGCCAACTCAACAGAAGCTAACAACATAACTCTACAGTAGTTCAGACAATGAGGTATTAGCAAAAGGAGAGGACATAGGTTCAGTGGAACAGAATGGCGAGTCCAAATATAGACCCACACATATGTAGTTAATGTGATCAATAGAGGTGCAAAGGTGGTTCCTTGGAGAAAGCACTGTCTTTTCAACAAATGATGCCTTTACAGTTGGGCAGACATATGCCAAAAAAATTAACTTTGATCCATTCCCCACACAGTAGACGCAAATAAATGAATTCAAAATAGATCATAGACTTAAATGTAAAACCTAAACCTTCTAGAAGAAAACATTGGAAGAAATCCGTGACTTTGGATTAGACAAAGATTTTTTAGATATGACATCAGAAGCGTGATCCATTTTTTAAATTAAGAATGTCTGCTCTTTGAAAGACAGCATTAAGAGAATGAAAGACAAACAACAGACTGGCAGAAAATATTAGCAAATCACATATCTGATAAAGAACTTGCATCAAAAATATATAAAGGACTTTCAAAACTTAATAATAATTTTAAAAAATAATCCAGTTTCAAAATGGTCAAAAGATTTGAACACATACTTCACCAAAGAAGATGTATGTATGGCAAATGAGCATATGAAATGATTCTCAACATCATTACTGCTTAAGGAATTCTACATTAAAACCATAATGTGGTATCCCATTACATACCTATTAGAATGGGTAAAAAGAAGAGAAAACCTGACAATACCAAGTACTGATGAGGAGCTACAGTGACTCACATACGTTTCCACTGGGGATGCAAAATGTTAGCACCACTTTGGAAAATAGGTTAGCAGTTTCTTATAAAGTTAAGCATCATATGACTCAGCAATCCCATTCCTAGGTATTTGCCAAGAGAAATGAAAACTTCTGTTCATGCAAAAACCTGTACATGAATGTTTATAGAGGGTTTATTTGTAATTGCCAAAGACTGATAACTACTGAAATGTCCTTCAACTGGCAAATAGAAAAACCAACTGTGGGACTTGCACATGACGCACTCCTACTCAGCACTAAAGAGGAACAAACTACTGATGCTCATGACAACCTGGATGACTCTCAAGTGCATTATGCTTAGTGAAAGAAGCCAGATGCAAAAAAAGCTGCAAACTGTATGACTCCATTTATGTGACGTTCTGGAAAAGGAAAAACTATAGGGACAGAAATATATATCAACAGTTGCTAGGGGTAGGGGCGGTGAGTTGGCGGTGAGTTGGGGGATTTTCTGGGGTGATGGTACTGTTATGTATCTTCATTGTGGTAGTGGATATGCAATTGTATGCATATGTCAAAACTCGCAGAAGTTTACACTAAAATGGGTGATTTTCAATGTAAGTAAATGTTCCTTAATAAAAGGAAATGAAAAAATCACTCATGACACACAGAAATCACTAAGGTAATTGCAGTCTTGTGTGTTTCAAATATTGGTATTATCCGACATCAAAAATAAAAATAAGTATATTTAATACATTGAAAAATTAGAGGGACTTGAAAACATCACAGCGGAACAAGATCAAGTTGGTTTGAAAATTAACCAAATAAAACTTCTAGGATATAATTGAAAATAAAATCTCTGTCAGTGGGTTAAATGGCAGATTAGACATTACTGAAGAGAGAAATAGTGAATTAGAAGACAGATTCAGAGAAATTATGTAAATGTTGACAGAAAGACAGAGATGTAAATGTGAAAGGAATGGTAAGAGCCATGGAGGACAGAGTGAGAAGGTCTGCTGTTTTCTATTGGAGTCAGGAAAAGACAATACTGAAAGACATATTTGCTGAGAATGTTCTAAAATATTGTGTTGAAACATACCTAAACTCAGATCCAGGCAGACATTACATGCCCAAGATTGAAACAGAACTCATGGAGCAGATAAAATTGGACACGATTAAAGACAACTTTCTTAGTCATTGAGGAGCTTGATTCTAGAATGTATGCAAGCTTATGTTCCAGACAAATGGATTAACACAGGTCCATTTGGACACTAAGAGACCACAACACCATCCACACAGTGAATCAGGGTGGACCCAGAGTCCAGCTGGGGTTCGGGGTGCAGAGAGGACCCAAGGCTCAGTTCCAGGCTGCCATGGCGCTTACTCCTGATGAAGCCAAGGATGTAATGGTCCAGGTGGTGGGCAGCCAGCTCTGTCCCCTGCCCTCCTGGCCCAGGCTGATGTCATGTGTATAGTAGGAGGAGCCCAGAACAGGGTGCCTACTGCCTCTGACAGCCCTAGGCCCCCAGGGATGATGCATCCTGCTCTGTAAGGAAATGATGCTGCTACCAGAGAGTCGGGCCAGCAGGACCTGGTGTTCAGGGTGCTAAGCCCAGGGCGGATCCAGCACATCCGCTTAGGGCTCTCCACAGTGGCCTGACCCAGAGGAACCTGAGCCATGCTGGCTGCAGATGTCCAGCATCCTTGACCCAGCCTGGAGCTAGGCTGGAGGCACAAAGATGCTGGGAAAGGCCGCTGACCTACTCTTCCGTAAGCTTTGCTTCCCATAGTGAATTAGGTGTCTGTTCTTTGCAAGTCAACAGAAAGCCCTTCTCAGACATGCGGAGGCAGAATCTTCTCTCAGGGCCCTTCCCATCAGCTACAGGCGGTGAGCCCCAGGGGTGGGTCAAAACCAAGAGCTGACAAGTGGGGATGGGGAGCATGCAGACCTACAAAGCTCCAAACTGTGTTAAATCCTCCCCTAGCTGACAGTTCTCTTAGAAATGACAGCTGTGGAGGGAGAGGCACCCACTCACCTCCCCTGTGCTGGACCCCCTTCCGCTGCACAGGGGCTGCACTCCACATCGGCTCTCCTCTCCCCCACATCCCTCACACCTATCTTTCCTCCATCATTGTGGCACCGGCTCTGTTATTTCCTCAGCTCAATAAAACACCTCTTTGACCCCACTTTCTTCAGCTACTGCTGCCCTGTTTGGCAGCTTTACAGGAAGACACCCTCAGGGCGCACCTGCTCGCTGGCTCCCTGTCCTCTCCTCCTCCCTGCCCTCCCAGCACGCCTGTCCCAGGGTCTCCTCCTGCCTGGGCCTTTTCTCTCCCTGCCTCCCACCATTTTAGGGGGTGAATTGTGTCCCAAAAATTTATGTTCAAGTCCTAACATGTGAGCCTGACCTGGTTTGGAAATAGGTCTTTGAAGGTGTTGTCAGTTAAGATGAGGTCATACTGGAAAAGGGTGGGTTCTAACCTCATCTGAGTGGTGTCCTATAAAAGAGAAAAGATGCAGACAGGGAGGGAAGTTGGCCATGTAATGATGCATCTACAAGCCAAGGAATGCCTGGGGCCACCAGAAGCTGGAAGAGACAAGGAAGGATCCCCCCACTAGAGCCTTGAAAGGGAGCACAGCCCTGCCAAAACCCTGAATTCAGACTGCCAGCCTCCAGAACTGAGGCAATGGGTGTCTGCTGTTAGAAGCCCCCAGTGTGTGGGGCTCTGTGACGGCAGCCCCCACTCCCAGGCTCAGGCTCCCCCCAACCCCCACGGTCTCCTGCTCACACGGTCTCAACGTGTTCACCTGAGAAGCACCCCCAGACTGTTCAGCCCTGAACTTACCCCACCACGGAATTAGGTTTGGGGGCTTGGGGGTTCCTCAGCAGCATCCACAGGGGTAGCCATCTCACCCTGAGCTCACAAGACCTCCATCAGACAAGAGGACACAACCCCTCAGGGCACTGAGCTCCATAAGGGATCAGGATGCCCAGCGCCATGCATCTCACACCCATGACCTCACCCTCACCAGCTCTGAGCCCACCTCGAGACAGGGGAAGGGACTCAGAAATTGGAGACTTCCCTCTGCTGCCTGCAGGCCCCACGAACCCCACTGTATTCTTCCTGTGCTCTCAGACCCCTTCTTTGTCTGTCTGAACAAGCAAACCTGTGAGCCAGGCCAGGGAAGGGCAGGAGGCCAGCCTGGGTACCCTGCACCCCCCTCCTCTCCATCAGGGCCTTAGAACAACCCCAGGAAGGGGAGAGGGAAAGATGGAGTTTCCAGAACCCTCTCTAGGGTTCTATCTGCACTCCGCAGTACTCTGATCAGCGGCCTGGGTGGCGGCCCGGGCCCCAAGGGTGAGCCCCACAGCAAGGGGCAGGGGGTCCGCCTGACACTCCAGCAGCCCCCGTGGCCCACAGCAGCCCACAGATGAGCTGTGTGCATGGAGGACAGGCTCCTGGTGGGGGTGAGGTGGGGACTGAAAACCCCACCCACTTCATACTTGACACATCTTCCTTCCAGAATCTGAGGGGGTAACGATGACCACCATCATGGAGATGCCTCAAGGCGAAGATGAGGCGGAGATCCAACTGGGAGAGGTCAGGAGGCCCAGCCACCCCCACACCCACACTGCCCAAGTCAGGGCAGCTGTGCCCTCAGATCTTGGGCGGCCTTCTGCTTGACCTGAGCCAAATAAGGCTACAGTCTGGCCTCTGACTGGCTGCCTCTGGGCAGCTTGGATCTCATCAGCACTGGGCAGGACCCAAGTGACCAGGCTGCTTCCTGGGGTGGGGGTGGGGGGGCTTGGCCCAGTGTGGGGAGACCCTAAAGCTGGTGCCTCCTGGGCCAAAGCATGAGACATGGGGTGTGGGTCGGGGGGAGGATGGGAACAGGGTCAGGCTTTGGGGCAGGTGGCCTCTTGGCTGGGACCCTGCTGCAAGTGTAAACCCTCATGGGGCAGGTCCAAGCTAGGCGAAGCCCCTCAACCTGCATCTGTGTGTGGCCCAGTGGCCACCCCAGGGACACGTCATGGTGGTCAGTGGAAGGCCCTTAATAGTCTCCTCAGGTGTGTCTCTCCCTGTGCAGGTAACAGAAGGTGAAATTGGTCCCTTCAGCTCCATCAAGGTGCCTATCATCTTCACCCCAATCATCCCAGGAGAGGTCCAGACCAAGTTCAAAGTAGTGTTTAAGAATCCACAGTACCCAACAGTAAGTACTCCTGCTGCCGCTTCCCACGCTTTGTCCACACCACTTGAGCCCCGACTCACACTGAGCAGCAACTCACCTTTTCGCTGCACCCCAACAACCACAGAAGGCACTTGCTGTGATCAGACGGCTAGTTGGTAACACAAATGGTTGACAGCAGAGCCAACACACACAGACACACGTGCACACACAGTACAGATACGTGCATGTGTACACATGATACACGTGTACATGCACAACATGCACACATATGCACAGACACCAAGTACACTCATAAAGAGCTGGTTGTAAGCATTTGCCAGCACACCACCATCTTTACTGCTCTTCCCTTCCAGCAGCTCCATTTTGTTGGGTGAGTTTTCTGTTTATTCTGTCCTATTTTCTCATCTCTGGCCCCAGAAACAGGTTATGTTTTTGGCAACTCTGTGGGCCTAGAATCTGGGTGGGGTGGCAACTCCCCTGCTCCCACCCCAGTCCATTTGTGCCTCAGCCTCATGGTCTAGTACTGAGCTTGCGTTTGTTATTATCTGTGAAAGATTCACAATGTGTGCACTTTTCTGTATGATGAGTTATAGTGCAGTAAGTTTTCTTTTAAGCAGCCTAAGAATGTCGATAGTTATGAAGCTGGTGATGTCTACATGGGGATTCATTATAGTATTCTATTTTTTTATGTTTAGAAATGTTTATAATAAAATGTTTTTAGCAATTATACGACATGAAAAGCACCACAGAACTTCAGAGCGTGGCTTGTTTAATTATTGACCTCCCAGTACTTGAAATAGCTCAGCAAGTCGTGGAGCTCTGCTGGCAAGTTCTATGCTGGCTGGTGCTCCTCTGCTACCTGCGTCGCTGATGTGTGTTGCTGAATTTACATTCCCAACCCAGCTGTACTTCAGAGTCATCGGCATTGCCATCGATGTGCCCGTCTGGGTACCAAAGCCCAATGTGGACCTGAAGATCTGCATGTACGACCGGCTGTACCAGGACTCCGTGCTCGTACACACGAGGTGAGCACCGCTGTACCAGGATTCCCTGCTGGTAGAGGCCCTGGGGTGGAACATGAGACTGTGAAGATTGGGCGAAGCTAAGGGTCTTGAGATGGGAGATTGTCCTAGATGATCCAGGTGAGCCCAATGTCATCACAGGGTCCTTAGGAGTGGGAGGCAGGAGGATCAGAGTCAGAGAGGGGACATGACGACGGAGGTAGAGGACGGAAAGATGCAATTGCTGGCTTTGGGGATGGAGGAGGGGTCCAAAAGTCGAGAGATATGGGAGGCCTCTAGAAGCCCTAAGAGGCCAGGAAATGGATTCCCTAGCTCCCAAGCCCCAGGAGGAACCAGCCCTGCTGACTGCATGATTTTAGCCATGTGAGAACCATCTCAGATTTCTGGCCTCCAGAACTGTGAGAGAGTCAGTCAGTGTTGTTTTAAGCCATGGAGTTTGTTGGAAGTTGTGACAGTAGTGATAGGAAACTAACTACTGTGCATGCCGAAGTCACATGGCTCAAGCCCCTCACCCTGGGTGGGCCCCCCGCCCCTCCCCCCAGGTCCCTGGCCCAGGGGTCACAGAAAACCCTCCATAGCATGTATGCCTTCGCCCGTGCCCACCCACTCATTTGGTGAAAGGCAGGCAGATCTTCAGAACAGAGCACAGTGAACTTCCATGAATCGCACACCCCTGTGTGTATCTGGCCCCAGGTGAGAGGACAGAGCGTCACTGACCACGAATCTCCAGCCCCACCCCCATGCGTCTGACCCAGGCAGACAAGGAACCACAGTGTGCCCCCACCCTGCCTGCAAAGCCCACTTCACCAGCAAGCCCCACATGCCACCCCACCACCACCACCACCACCGTGCCTGTATTGTTCTGCATTCATCTCTTCCTACGTCAGGGACTTGAAGGAAAAAGCACAGGTTACCAAGGTTACGGGGGGAGGGGAGCAGTTTCCTCCCACAACTGCCATATCTTCGAGGGTGTGACAGAGTCAAGGATAGAGCCATGTCACTAGGGAGGTGGGGACCTGAAGGAAGAGCACAGGTGTGTTTACTGGGGAGACCAGGAGATGGGGCATTGTGCATCTTGAGTCTGTCTCAGGATGAAAGGGCACCTGCTTCTGATGTGTGTGCCATGTGCTCTGTAGTAATGGGTGTGTGAAAGCCAGAGGGCCAGTTTTGCTTTCTCAATACCCCCCTTCCCAGGCACAGATTGGCAATGTAAGTTTGTTTAGGGATTGTTTTTGTTCAGTATTAGCCATTTGTGGATTTGATTCATTGGCCAGTTTTATGGACAGGGAGGTAGCAAAAGGTGTTAACACGTGTTCAAGGAAGAGCCGCCGGCAGCATCTGAAACAAAAAGTGAAACTGGTGGAGCCAGCTCAGGGCTCTCTGTTCGAAGGACGCGAGGGAGGGAGGTAGGGAGGGAGGCTGTCTTAGGCTGGGTTCTCTAGAGAAGCAAAATCAGTAATGTATAAATATATATAAAGAGAGAGATTTATATCAAGGAAACAGCTTACACGATTGTAGAGGCTAGAACATCCCAAGTCTGTGGATCAGGGTAGAGGCCTCTCCCAAGTCATGGAGCTGCAGAGGCTAGCAAGCCCAAGATCGGCAGGTCGGAGAGCAGGGCTTCTGCTCACAGGCTGTGAAGGTTGACAAATTCCAAGATCGGCAGGCAAGACCACAAGGTTTCTCCTGATTCGTGTAGCTACAGGGGCTGGCAAACCCAAGATCGGCAGGTCAGAGAGCAGGGCTCCGCTCACAGGCTGTGAAGATCAACGAATTGCAAGTTCAGCAGATAAGCTGACAGCTCAAGTCCCAAGAACCAGAGATGAGATGACAGGAGGCAGCCATAGGATCCAGAGTGAGCAAAAAGCCAGAACATCTGCTTATATTCAGATGCAGGCCACACCCTCAAGGAGACTCCTTTTCATCTGATTGGCTACTCACAGTATATTCAGTCATGGGAGTGATCACATTAAAACACTGAGAATCATGGCCCAGCCAAGTTAACACACAATCTTAACCATCACAGAGGCTTTCTACCTCCTGGGCCACAGGAGAGACCCTCGTGCCTTGCGGGGTCTCTCATGTGGGGGCTACCCTTCAGGGCCCAGCTCCCTGTACGTGTCCCTCAGCCAACTTCTCTTTGCCTTTGAATCCTCTGTGGATGGGATGCTCAGGGTAGTGGGGGTGCAGTAGCCAGGGCACTGGGCAGCAGGACTGGGTAGCCAGGAGACAGGTGAGGGAGGGAGGCTCTGAGCTGCAACTCCTGGTTCTGCTGTGGACAAAGGACCCAGCACCCTGCAGCTGGGCCTTCTCCTTCTTTAGCTTAGAGATCACCCCTCCTGTGGAAATAACAAGGCCCTCGGTGGAGAAGAGAAGCAGTTTACTCAGAGAGGACACACAGGTGTCGGCCACAGAGACTCAGAGGCAGGCCAGGGCAGGGAGCCAAGAGTGAAGCAGGAATGGCTTCAGTGCACCCTGAAGGAGGTGCTAGGTGGGAAGACCGGGGCAGATGACTAGGTGGGGGTATCCCCATGATTGGCTAGGGGGGCATAGTCGGCTTTCTCTAGCTGGTCTTGAGCTGAACAGGGGAGCAAAATAGGGAAGCAGCAGTCATTGACCATGTCCTGGCCATCTGGGCCAGCCACTGCAGAGGCTCGTTGTGCAGGTGTCTTGGTTATCTAGTGCTGCTATAACAGAAATACCACAAGTGGATGGCTTTAACAAAGAGAAATTTATTCTCTCACAGTCTAGGAAGCTACAAGTCCAAAATCAGGATGCCAGCTCCAGGGGAAGGCTTTCTCTCTCTGTTGGCTCTGGGGGAAGGTCCTTGTCATCAATCTTCCCCTGGTCTAGGAGCTTCTCAGTACAGGGACCCTGGGTCCAAAGGACACGCTGTTCTGTTGGCTCTTGCTTCTTGGTGGTATGAGGTCCCCATGTCTTTCTCTCTTGTATATCTCAAAAGAGATTGACTTAAGAGACACAACCTAATCTTGTAGGTTGAGTCCTGCCTCATTAACATAACTGCCCCTAATCCCACCTCATTAACATCATAGAGATAGGATTTACAACACATAGGAAAATCACATCAGATGACAAAATGGTGGACAGTCACATAATACTGGGAATCATGGCCTAGCCAAATTGACACACATTTTTGAGGGATACAATTCAATCCATAACAGCAGGTCATGGGTCAGAGTGCCATCATCATGCTGTCATACCACATATGTCTGCTCCAGCAGGGGTCTGCCCAAGTAGGGGCATGTGCAACATCACCTTGAAGCATCTTGCCCTCCTCAAGAAGGCTGGGGGGGTGGGTCATAAGGAGTCTGAGAGGCCTGTTGATGCCCACTGGGAAGTATCTAGAATGTATCTAAATGTGAGGCTGGAGAGAGGCAGTGCCCGGATGCAGCATGCATCATCAACATGCAGGCACAAGTGGGTCATGGAGCCTGGTGTGCACTGTGTTTGAGAGCTCTGTGACAGCACAGGAGCAGGCAGAATAGGAGGGCAAGTGCAACCTGCCATACTACCTATGGCACCGTGGTGAGAGACCACACTTGGAAGGCCCCTCTTTTCCCCCTGCATCCATCTCTCCCCTCCTCCGTGGCCTCAAGAGGGAGCTCTGGGAGGATGGAAGGGGTCCAGGAGCCACAATTCTATGTGGTGAGCCACCTCCAGAGTACCCAGGCCCCCATCTGAGTCTTCCAGGGCTGCCAGAACAAGGAACCACAAAGTTGTTGCTATTAATTGCCCTCAAGTCGATTCCAACTCATAGAAACCTGGATGGTGCAAATGGTTAAGTGCCAGACTACTAATCGAAAGGTTGGCAGTTCAAACCCACCGAGAGGCACCTCAGAAATAAGGCTTAGTGATCTACTTCTGAAGGGTCACAGCCTTGAAAACCCTACGCAGCAGTTCTAGTCTACACACATGTAGTAACTATGAACCACAAGGTGGGAAGCTTTAAATAACAGTTTATTCTCTCATGGCTCTGGAGGCCAAAAGTCCAAATTCAGGGTGTCAGGAGGGCCTTGCTCTCTTCTAAGTCTCTAGGGGTTGGTCCTTCCTTGTTTGGTGCAACTTCTGGTGGCCCCAGGAGTTCCTTGGCTTGTAGCTGCATCACTCCAATCTCTGCCTCTGTGGTCACATGCTGTCTTCCTCTTCCCTCTCTGTGTCTCTGTCTCTCCTCTTTTACAAGGACACTACTCAGATGGGGTTAGGACCCACCTTACTCTGGTGTGACCTCCTGTTAATTAATGATAGCTGCAAAGACCTTATTTCCAAACAAGGTCATTTCACAACACCTGTCCTCCTCGTTCCTTCTGCAGTGGCTTGTGCTCTGGGGGCCTTGTGGTGAAGGGATACAGGGGTGAGAGAAGAGGGGGGAGGCAAGGGAGTGTGGGAGTGTGGGCACCTGCCTGCCCCAGGACTGGGTCAGGACCTGCACACCTCTTCCCAACCCTTGGCCCAGGCAGAAGGAGGGCAGAACCCCTGGAGGTCCCACTGCACATGCCTCCCAGCCCTCACAACACCCTGCCCCACAGACCCTCTCTCTAGACTCGCTGGGCTCTGAGGACTGATCGTCAGCGCCATTTTCCAGTCGAGGTGCTCTTACCTTTAAGACTGCTCGCAGATTCCGTTTCAGGAGAACCCACCTCTGGGACCCAGGGCCCTGAGTCCCCCATCTCAATGTCCAACACCCACAGGTCAAAGGCGGCCCTGCGCCTGAGATTTGAGGTGTGCAAGGAGCTGCGGGCCCACATGGAGCTCCTGCCGGAGACCGGCTACATCCAGGCGTTGTCATCCTACTCGGTGCAGCTCAAGTTCCTTCCACGGTGAGGGGGACGGAGAGGAGCCAAGGAGGGGATGGGGGCGGTGGCTGAGGCAGTTTGTTGAAATCAGAGCTGCCTCAGTGACTTGGCCTTGGCAGCTGCCCATCGCAATGACACCGAGCTCTCTTTTCTTATTTGTACCCATTGCCGTTGAGTCGATTCCAACTCATGGCAACCCTATAGAGTAGAACTGCCCCAGGGTTTCCAAGGCTGTAATCTTTGCAGAAGCAGACTGCCACATCTTTCTCCTAGGGAGCTGCTGGATAGATATGAACTGCTGACCTTTTGGTTAGCAGCTGAGTGCTTAACCACCATGCCACCAGGGCTCCTTTTTCTTATTTGTACTCTCTCTGAAATTTCTATCATACTATCGGTTTCCTTTTATAACGAGAAAGCAAATTTTTAAACAAGTGATTATGCATTTTCAAAATTTAAAACGTATGTGGGTTTGAGTCCAGTTGTTCAGAAACAGGCTGACACCCCCAGTTGGACACCGACGGTGCTCCTTGGAGCGCTGAGCCGATTCGGAGACTCAGCACGGAGAGACTCAGCCTGCACGTGCACTGTCACCCTGCCCAGGAGGTCTGCCATGGGATCTGCTCTGGAGCTCTGGGTTTCATGTGTCTCAGAGCTGCCATGATCTAAAAGTGCTGTTTATAGACCTATTGTACTGGCATTGCAGAAAATACAAAGGAGAAAAGTACGTATGCACATACCCGCCTCTTTCAGACACTCCCTCTCGGAAGACGCAGGGAAATACTTTGACAAGGAGTCCCGAGTCCTGGAGGCCCCGATGACCATCTGGGTGGCTGACCAGGTCCGTGTGGTCCCACACCGGGTGCAGCGCCTCACTTCCAAGTCCCCAGAAGCCAGGCTCCTCTGGGGGGGCTGGGCTGCTCTGGGGGGTGGGCTCTGTGCAGAGTGAGGACTCCGAAAAGTAGGGCTCTGACTCCGCAGAGCCTGCCCTCACCTGCCTTCTGGGGCGGCTTCTGATGGCTGATGGCCAGAGGTATCTCCTGCCCAAGCCACCAAGAGCACAGGGGAGAAGTAGGGGGTGGTCTGCAGGCCAAAGGAGAGCCTGGATGATCCAAGAGCCTCCAAATCCTGTCCAGGGTGGGCTGGCCCAGGCCTCCGAACTCGTGCGAACATGTGCACACACTCACCCACACACATACACAGAGGTATGCACATGTATACACCCAGTGCACCACACACATTCACAGGCACACATATACACAAACATACACAGAGGTGCACATGTTCACACTCAACACACCACACACACTCATACACACATACGCAGAGGTGCTCATGTGTACACACCCAGTGTACCACACACACTCACAGACCCCCATGTGCACACACTCATACACAGAGTACACATGTACACACCCAGTGCAACCAACACACCACACTCACAGGCACACACAATGTAATGTATGCATGCATGCACAGTATACCACAGACACAGGTGCACACGTGTGTACACTTACATCAGGACCACGTGCCCTCCCCCACACCTGCCCACGGCCCCTGCTTCCTCCTGGCCGCTTCCATGTGACTCAGCCTCACAGTCTCACAAGCCAGGGCACTCCCAAGAAACGGGGTTCCTTTAAAGACAGACTCTGTGTTCCTGAAGAATCAATGTACCATGGCCACAAGGCAGCAGTGGTGCTTGTTCTTCCTCGCAGTGCCTTTGCCGTGTCTGGGAACATTCGCGGTAGAACCTACTGCAGGTGACTGGGCATGCTCATTTGTCCTTTGTACCCAGATCAGGCCTGTGGAGTTCACTGTCCATGCCATCGTCACAACCTCAGACTTGGAAATCAGCCCCTCGGAGGTGGATTTTGGCTACTGCACCATCTACGAGGCGATTAAAACCAGCGTCACCCTCCACAACCACGCCCTCCTGCCCCAGGAGTTCGGGTTCGTTGGACTCCCCAAGGTACCTCCTGTGGTCAGCCGTGGCCAGGGGGCTGAAAAGGGGGCCCAAGCGTGGGGATGCCATGAGGACCAGGTCACAGGCAGCTGCTGCTCTGGGCCCCAGTCCTGGGTACCAACAGGCCCCAGACCCTCCCCTGGACTCCACTCCCACCTGTGTCTTTCTGCCCATCCTCTCCCTGCACCCCAACCACCACCACGAATCTCTGCCTCGCCAGGTGTCTCTCTGCCTCTTCTTGATTTCTGTCTCTCCCTCCCTCTCCCTGCTCTGCCACACCCTTGCAGCCCCCTCTCAGATGAATTCCAGACTCCTCTCCCCACCCTTCCTTCCAGAACCCTGCAAGGCAAGCAAGACAAGCCGAGCCCCAGCCTCCTCCTTACCCCTCCTGGGCTGCCTCATCGTAGACCCTACCATCCACCCGCACGCACACCCACACACCCATCGCACATCCATACACACCCATCACACACACACACACACACACACACACACACACACACACACACACCTGTAAAAATGACATGGTAGGGGCATCTGACCTCCTCCAACTTCATGAGGGGGAAGGAGAATCAAGATCAACAGCCTAAGACTAATTCCTATGAGGCGGAGGTCAGATGTGCCTCCACCCTCCAACCTTTTTACCGGTTCTAATACCAGCCGTTCCCCCCATGGTGCTCTCTACTTCTCTGCTGGGTTCAATAATTTGTTGCAATGGCCACACAGAACTAACAGGGTTGAGTTAGGTAGTTTTTTGTGGGGTTTATTATGGAAGTAACAGGTTACAATTCAGGATACAGTTCTTCTATCAGGACAGCTTCTTTTCAGCCGTACCCACAAGCAGGTCTCTCTCTGGCCCTCGGCCCCTTGGCCCGGCCTCTGCCCTGCTCGGGCAAGTATTACAAAGCTCTTCAGCTCCACCAATAAGTGCCCAAAGGCACCCCACTCCACCAGTGAGCCTCAGCATGAAGGCACTCAGTGGGTTGGCAAGCCTAACTCTGTTGACAAGTGCCAGAGGCACCTCAGTCCGGAGGCACCTAACTGCCTGCAAGCCTTCTGCCTCGAAGGCACTCAGTTCTGCTCCATGGGCTGGAAAATTCACCTAGCCATCTCTTGTCAGTTGCCTGGTTCTGCTTCCTCTGCTGCCACCATTTCTCTGCAGCTGCTTCTCACCATCTTGCTGTCTCCGGTGTTACAGTTCCTCTCTCTGTCTTCTGGGTCTAGGAGGGTCTCAGCGAAGGGATCCTGGGTCCATATGATGTGCTCCGCTCCCATCTCTTCTTCTTGGTGGTAGTCAAGTCTCCCCTTTCTGCCTCTGTGGGATGGCAAAACTGACTAATCCCCTCGTTAGGGTTCCATACACCTTATTTGCATGGTCCCACCCCCACAAGGGTGCCATGTACCTTATTTGTATTTATTAGCAAGTTGTCCAGTCCCCTTGGTGGACCAGAAGCACCTCATTTGCATAGTCCCACTCAGTCATTGTGTGGGAAGTCACAAAGACTATGGCTAGAAGGGCCATATTAAGTAATTAACTGCACTGCACCATCACACACTGACACACATATACACACATCACACTCATACACTCTCACACTTTCTCACATTCTCAAACACACACGTGCCCATTCACACACACCTCTGCTACACACATGTCCACACAGCTCCCTTTGCAACACTCCCCCAGCAAAGACCAACACACTTCTCATTTTGGCATCAATGGATTTTTTCATTTGCCAGTTCGTGGACATTCAGCCCAATGATGGGTTTGGGACGATCTTGCCACTGGAAAGTTTGCATCTCGATGTGATCTTCCAGCCCACCAAGGCCAAGGAGTATAGCTTTGAGCTGGTCTGCAAATCAGAGATTAACAGGTGAGGCTGCTGGGTGAGGGCCATGTGCAGGGCCTGGCACATGTAGCTCAGGGCAATCCCTCCACCTACCCTTGTGCCACCAGCCTGGCCTCTGGACCCTACCTGCCAAGAATCCTCAGCAGTTGGACCTGGGGCCAGGCTGACCATAGGGCTAGGCTGCACAACACTGCAGACCTGGGCAGAGACCGGCCTGGGAGCAAGGCTGACTTGCACACTGCCCAGCTCACCTATGTGTGCATGTGTGTTTGTGCATATGTGTGAGCGTGCATATGTGTGAGTGCACTGTGTATGAGTGCATACGAGTGCATTTGTGTGTGTATGAGCATGTGTGTGCATGCATATATTTGTGCCCATGTGTGAGTTTTATATGTGTGTGCATGTGTGTATAAGTGCATGTCTGAATGTGTGTGAGTGCATGTGTGTATGAGTGTGAGTGAGTGTGCATATAGGTGCATTTGTGTATATGTATTTGCACATATGCATGAGTATGCATGTACGTTCATGAGTGTATTTGTGTGTGCATGTGCATGACTGTGCATGTGTATGAGTGTGTGCAAGTATGTGTGAGTGAGCTTGTGTGGGTGAGTGTGCATGTCTATGACTGCACGTGTAAGCACTTATGAATATGTATATGTGTGAGTCTGTGTGTATGTATATGAGTGCATATGTGACTGTGCATGTGTGTGTGTGAATGTGCATGTTTGAGTGTGTGTGAGAGTTACATGTGTGTAGAGAGCAACCCTCTGGCAGCGGGGGGATCCGGACATGAGCCCGCCTGCTCTGACACACTGCATGACTTGAAGAGTCCCTGATCCTCCCTAAGAGAAGTGAGAAGGAGGTCATGGAGCAGGGGATAAAGCAGGAGGGGGAGAAGGACTCTGTAATAAGGGCAGGTTCTCATTGCTAGCCTCAAGTGAGAAATGTTTTGATTCAGAGGCTGAGAGCGGTGTGTCAAACCCGGAGCGGGTCCTAGGCAGGCATGTGAGGGTGCATGAGGACAGCTCCAGAGATGGTGTCAAGGCCCCGCAAAGCCCCCTCCTCCCCTCTGTGCTCACGCCAACTCTGTCTGCCTCTCCTTGCCTCTTGTTCTGTCTCCACCACGTTCTCAGGCTCACGCCACCCTGTCCTGGCTGGGCCTCACCAGCCAGGTAAGGTCAGCCTGGCTGGGTCTAGACAACTGGGTGAAATCAGCCTGGTCGGCAGCTCCACAGCATGCCAAGACCTGCTGGAAGAGGGAGTGGGTTCATGGGTAGTGTGATTTTAGGGGATGAAATGCAAGTTAAAGTTGCAGAGAGAAAGCACCTTCCAGTGAGGGCTCTCACCACCCACCCTCAACCCTCCACCCTTGTTCAGCTTCTTCTCACCCTCTAATGTACTGTGGAAGCCCTGGTGGCGTAGTGGTTAAGAGCTACGGCTGCTAACCAAAAGGTCTAGTAGTTCAAATCTACCAGGCGCTCCTTGGAAACTCATTGGGGCAGTTCTACTCCATCCTATAGGGTTACTATGAGTCGGAATCAACTCGATGGCAATGGGATTTTTTTGTTAATGTATTGTGAATGGGCCAGTGGTGGTTCAGTGGTAGAATTCTCTCCTTCCATCCAGTAGACCCGGATTAGATTCCCAGCCAGTGCATCTGCTTGTCAGTGGAGGCTTTTGTGTTGCTATGATGCTGAACAGGGCTTTCAGACTAAGACAAACTAGGAAGAAAGGCCAGTCAATCTACTTCTGAAAATCAGCCAATGAAAACCTTACGGATGATGACAGTCCAATCTGCAACTGATCATGGGAATGGTACAAGACCGGGCAGCACTTAGTTCCATTGTGTATGGGGTTGCCATGAATCAGGGGCTGACTTGATAACAACAACGTACTATGAAACTTTGGTAGCTTGTTTAGCTCTCACCTGCCCTTCTGGGAAATAAGTCCCATGAGAAGAGGAGGTTTTGTCTGTTTTCCTTGTTAAGGTAAGCCCAGTGCCCTAGAACCACATCTGGCCCCTCACAGAAACACCATAAATGTGTGCTAGATGAACAAATGTATGTGTTTAACTTTTAAAGAACTATATACATGTAAATTGAAATTGCCAAAAGTTAAGACAGGAGCTGTCTTGGAGAGGGCTACAGAAAGCTCATGCCATAAGGCCTCAGTAATTAAAAAGCATGAAGGGACAAGCAAAGGATGCAGCCTGGCTGCAGGGACACATCAGCTGGGCACCTCATGTTTCCAGGCATGTCCCTGCATGGTGCCCCAAATGTGGCTCATGTACACCAGTCCTTTCTCCTGGAGGGCCCCTCAGGGATGTCTAGTCCACTGATTCGATCCCCTCCTCACTGCCTCTCTCCCCCGATGTCCTCTCCTGCTTACCAGGTTACCTTGCAGCCAAATGGATTATAGCCCCACTTACCCATACACTCCTCCCTCCATCATACTCAACACAACCTCCACCGCTGACCTCTGATGCTCTGCCCTCCACCTATGCAGTGACGGGGAGAAAACCTACAATGTGCTGCCCACTTCCCTGGTAAACTCATGCCCACTGCCTGCAGGTGGCTCCAGGCTGCCTGGCCAGCCACCGCCCATCCCTCCTCCTGGGGAACCCATTCACATCCCCATCTTTGCACACTTGCTGGCTTCTTTTAGTGGGAGTGGCATTTAGAGACCACAGTCTTGGTGCTGGGGGTGCTAATTGATGTTGGGCTGATTACTGTTTCCAGGTCTTTTCAGTAGACAGAGTGTGATGGTTAAGATTGTGTGTCAACTTGGCTGGGCCATGATTCTCAGTGTTTATATGTGATCGCTCCCATGGTGGGATATGCTGTGAGTAGCCAATCAGTTGAAAGGGAATTTCCTCGGGGATGTGGCCTGCATCCGAATATAAGCGGACGTTCTGGCTTTTTGCTCGCTCTGGATCCTGCGGCTGCCTCCTGTTTGTCTGACCTCTAGTTCTTGGGACTTGAGCTATCAGCTTATCTGCCAGTCTTGGGATTCGTCAATCTTCACAGCCTGTGAGCAGGAGCCCTGCTCTCCGACCTGCCGATCTTGTGTTCATCAGCCCCTGCAGCTACATGAATCAGGAGAAGCCTTGCAGTCTTGCCTGCCAGTCCTCAGATTCGTCACTCTTCACAGACTATGAGCAAGGACCCTGCACTCCAACCTGCTGATCTTGGGTTTGACAGCCCCTGCGGCTACGTGAATTGGGAGAAGCCTCTATCCTGATCCACAGACTTGGGATGTTCCAGCCTGTACAATCATGAGAGCTGTTTCCTTGATATAAACCTCTTTATTTATATATTTGTATGCTTTACTGGTTTTGCTTCTCTAGAGAACCCAGCCTAAGAACAGAGCTAGGAGATAAAATACCACAAGAGTTCATACTGACACTTCCAATTCAGGACTGTTTTTGTATCTAACATCTTCTGTGTCTCCTATTTCCCACACTGAGAACCCTCCTGAGAGAATTCAAAATATCACATGGCTACTCATCTGTTTTATCCCATGTTTCACACAAAATCTTTCTCATGGAAGCAATATCAGCACTGTCACAACAATGTGATTACAAAAAAATAATGTAAACATGTTTCCATATGCCCTCCCCATTTTTTCTTCATGTATTCTAGTTGTATTGTATGTATGTTGACAAAGCATATAGCTAGTACATGCTATAGTCTCTGCCTTGTGTCCCTGATCTGGTCTTAATTCTATGTGTAATTGTACCTGATGCTTACCACTAGTCCTATGTTGAGGTCTGTAGACTATGAGAATAGAGCTCATTCTCTATTATGTTGCTAAGGAAGAGTTTATGGGAAGAGTACTCCCTGATTTTTTACATGTTGATGATAGTTTTCCTGTGCCTTTTATACTTGAAAGTTTGTTTAGTTGAATATAAAGACTTATGTTTTCTTTCTTCCACTGTCTTCTGGCATGAAGCATGTCTATCAAAGTCCAATGACATCAGATTTTCTTTTTTCCTGGATATTTAAGAGATTTTTTTCTTTTTATTTAAAATCCAATAATTTTATAAGATTACATCTCAGAGCTGGTTGTTCCGGATTGATTTTCCCAGATACACAGTGTTTTTCAAAAATTTTTAATTGCATTTCAGGAAAATGTCCTTGAATTTTAGTCCTTCATATTTGTTCTATTCTCTCAGTTTTCTTCTTTGGGATCCCTGTTATACATATGATGGATCTTCTTTGCTTTTCTTCTATGTTTGCCACTTTCTTTTGAATTCTTTTCATCGCTCTTTTCTTTCTTTTTTAATTTTTAAACATTCTACCTTTTAATCTTATATTTCTCTTAAGGAGTTATCTGCTGTGTTCCTTCATTATGAGTTTCTTTTAGTTGAGGCTTCATTTCTGAAATTTCTTTTATTTGTAATTCTTTCCTGAGTTCAAACACCTCAGTTCTGAGTTCCTTTGGTTATGATTAGGTTGCCACTTCATATCTTGTATTTTCTCAAGTTTTTTAGTGCATTTTGAATTACTACATTATACTTTTGAGTCTTTCATGGCATGTCTTTCTGGCATGTTTTTATTGTCTGATTAAGTGTTTTCTGCCTCTTATTTTCTTTTGTCTTACAACAACTTGATTTGTGATTTGATCTTAATCTTGTTTTAATCTTAATCTTGTTGCTCATTTTTATATGCAATTATTTTTCCTGAACTTCTAGAAGGGCCCTAGTTTAGATAGCTTTTTTAACTTTCTAGCTTTCGAGCTCCCTCTTCAGTTTTGTGGGTGTGTGAAGTGCTAGCAAGTGTCATCTCCAGCTTTCTTGACTCTACCTCTTCTGTTCCATTCCCCATTTTATTTGAACCTTCTTTTTGCTTTGTCTTTTGTGCCTGTCCATTCCATTTGGATTTCATTCCCAGCAGTTTCTCCACAGTATGGAGCTTTGTTCTGGGAGGGACATTTTTTCCTTACTGTAGACCCACTTTGGGGCCATGCAAATTCCTCCCAGGTCCAGCTGCTGGTCTCAGATGGGCTTCCTGCACCTTCAAATGAGCATCTGTTGACTACTCTGGAGTTCTCAGTCTGGCAGGTGTCTTGTTACTCTCCTTCTTTTCTCCTGCACAGATGCCAGCCTCCGTGGTGGCTGGAGTTTATTAAAGTCTAGCAGACACCCTTCATTATCATTAGTTAAGGAGTCTTCCATTTCTGGTCTGCTAGAATTTTCTTTTTTTTTTTTTTTTTTTTTTTTTTTTTTTGCTCAGGTTTGTATTGCCTCACTAACCCTGATTCTGGATCTCTTCACCGTGCCTTATCTGAGGTTAGGCACTGTTTTCTCTTTTATTTTGTCTAACTTTGGCATCAGGTATGTAAAAATGGCACAACAGCATCATCAGACCTCCTTAACTTCACAATGGGGAAGGAGAATGAAGATCAACAGCCCAAGGCTAATTCCTGTGAGGCAGAGGTCAGACATACCGCCTCTTTCCAACCTTTTTACCAATTCTGACACCAGCTGTCCCTCCCATGGCACTCTCTACTTCTCTGCTGGGTTTGATAATTCATTACAGTGGCCATATAGCACTCACAGACGATACTCATAATTATGAGGCTTATTAGGGAAGTAACAGGTTACAATTCAGGATCAGGAATGACTCAGGATACAGTTCTTCTATCAGAACAGCTTCTTCTCAGCCGTGCCCCCCAGCAGGCCTCTCTCTGGCCCTCAGCCTCTCGGCCCCTCAGCCCCTCGGCCCCTCAGCCCCTCAGCCCTGCCCTGCTCAGGCAAGTGTTACAAAGCTCTTTAGCTCTGCCAGTAAGTGCCCAGAGACATCTCACTCCACCAGTAAGCCTCTTGCTCAAAGGCTCTCAGCTCTCTTGCTCTGTGGATCAGCACACCCACTGTATCTGCCTCACTCCATGGGCCAGGTAGCCCACTGCACTGTTTCGTGCCTATCTCCTGTTCTACTGCTGCCATTTCTCTGCCACTGCTTCTTTCCATCTTGTGCCATCTCCGGTGTTACAGCTCTCTGTCTCTTAGGTCTAGGAGGTTCTCAGCGCAGGGACCCCGGGCCCAAAGGACGCATTCCACTCCCAGTTCTTCTTTTGGTGATAGGTCACCCCTCTGCTTTGGGGTTGGCTCTCCTTTTAAGCCTAGTGGGATGACAAAACTGACCAATCCCCTCATTAGGATTCCATACACCTTATTTGCATGGTCCCACTCCCACAGGGGTTTACTTGTACCTTATTTGCATTCTTAGCAGGCTGTCCAATCCCCTTAGTGGGCCACAAACACCTTATTTGCATAGTCCCACCACATCATTTTGTGAGAGTCCCAAAGGCTAGGGCTAGAAGGGCCATAATAAGTAACTCACTGCACCACAAGGTGATGCTCTTATAACCACTCCTTGTAGTCCTTGTAGTTGTCTCAACTCTTTGGAAATATAACCATGAAATGGTTTTACTTTTACCAGCAACTGCTCTTCACTGAGTTGTACACCCTCTCCCATCCTTTACAACATCACAGTCCCATCCCATTGTTTTCCAGGTCACTTGGGGTTAGTCAGTCTCATTTTGGTTCTTAAACTCAACTGCCTTATGTTCCAACATCAAGCTTGTATCTAATCCAGAGAGCCCCTGTGCAGGCCTGCCTTGGCTCTGAATTCTTCCTCGCCTCTCCCCCTGCCAGAGGCAGCCAGCCCCACAGCCCTTGCTGCTCAGGGACTCTCAGTAGGAGATCCTCACAGGTGGGGGGCATCAAGATAGAGGACACTCAGCCTGCTGTCTGTGGTGTCCATTCAGCCCACCAAATGCTCGCCATCTCCTTGCCATGCTGGGGGCCACTCATATCCTGAGGGTTGTTGGCCAGGCAAGAGATTCAGTGGCTAGAGCCAGGGAGGGGCCTGTGGAAATGGAGTAAATGTCCCGAGCTCTGTCCCAGATATCTCTGGTTTGAGTTGTGCCATCCTAGTTGTGCTGAGTGTTTCTGGGGGGATTTGGGCAGACTCTGACAACACTTCTTTTTGAGCCTGTGGATTATAACTGCCCTTAGTCTAGCAGAAAATGCAGCAGTCTATGTGTGGTTTTCTTCTTCCTTTCTTTTTTCTCTCTTCTCCCTGTTGCTTCTCTGTGATACTCAGGAGGGAAAGGGAGACACCTGTCTTACTCCCATGTCTGAGTCCCATCTCTACCCCCTGCCTAGTGCCTTTACTTGTTTATTAATAAAGTCTGTGCCCTCTGTAGAGGAAGTACCTGGGACTCTAAAACTGATGCCTAGGTCAAAACTTACAAAATTAGTTCTTGCTGCTTGAGGCTCTTCAACTGAAGCGACTCCCAGGAAGACGGCCCATGAGGTCAGGGCCACCCCCACAGCCTCAGCTCCTGGCCATAAACTCAACAACCGCCCATGAGGAACTAGCCAAGTGCTCCTTCACCATCGTGGCACCAACACCTTCACCCCAACACTGACACTCAGTGGCAGACATGAAACCTAGCTTTGTCTGCAGTGTGGAATTAGAGCCACAGACACACAAGAGCTGAAAATATGCTGCTTTTCATGCCTGAAGAGAGCCAACCCTTTCTGTATTCATGCCTGAAGCCCAGGTCATGCTAGCCACCATGGTCCAGGCCCCTCAAAAAAACACAACTTCCCAAAACAGACATAAGACCAAATCGAAGATCTGACGCGTTTGTACAACTATTAAGGAAATTGAATCCAAAATGTGAAATCTTCCCACAATGGAAATCCAGACCCAGATGGCCTCACTGATGAATCCTTCCAAACTTTTTTTTTTTAGTGATGCCAGATCTCACACAGATCTTCCAGAGAATAGAAAAGGAAAGAAAACTTCCCAACTCAGGTTAGGAGGTCAGCATGACCTCAGACAGCAGACAACAGGCAGCACCATGACTCAAGCCAGTGCCTGTCCCTGGGCCGTGCAGCCAAGTGAGTGATGGGCTAAGAACTCAGAAATGCTCCAGGGGCAGCGCTCTCCACCTCACATGCCCCAGAGTGTCTCTAGCTATCATGCAGGATTGTGACCCTGGGCACAGGTGTCAACATACCTGTGAGAACTGAAAATGAAGCCAGACATTTGCCTTTGGAAGCAAGGTCAGACTTGACTGGGCCAGCGGTTTGATGGGAAGGTCAGCTCTGCCTCTGAGACTAGATGGAAAACATCTTCCAAGCATCAAATGAGCAAACCCTTACCCAATGGTTTTTGGGGAAAAGAAATTTTTTAAAGCACTAGCTGAGAGAAAGCATCGTATCTCCGAACACTATATTGGCTAACATGTCTGGGGTGGACAGTGTCATGATGGCCCAGTCCTTTCTGAATGGATTGGGTCAAACCCACTGCCTCGAAATCTATGGTGGCATCTGGCAAGTCTCAGGAGAGCCTCAGTGACATGCCGCCCAGAGCCCCCAGTGGCCAACAAAGGCTTGAGTGAGTGCCAGAGACAGACTGTTAAAGATAGTGTAGCGTGGATGGTGTGCTACTGTGTGAATTGGCAGCATATAAATCAAAAGTAGTTGAAAGGGTTGAACGACAAAAGGGACAAAGCGCCCTCCACTCCCAGCACCCACATCCACACACCAAAGCCCGTCTCCCCTTCAAACAAACCGTGTTCTCGCAGGGACATTAGGGCCAATGGAAAACCACAGTGCCATGCATCTGGTCAAAAAGCAGTTTCCAGCAAAGTTCTTCTTTGCACATGCAATGATTATTCATCACATTTTTATATACTGAAGTGTTCAGTGAATTGAGTGTTAATAATTACTTCATGGATATCTCTATCCAGAAGGAATTTTTTATTTTAACATTTAAATTTGTGGTCACAGGACATAAAAATATGCATCGAAATATTTCAACGTATAGACACACTTTTGTTTCAGACAAGTACGATAATCAGTCTCATCCTTTAAATCATAAAAATACATGTCATTAGGATAAAATTTGATGGAGAAAGGGCAAAGGAAATCAGAGCTCAGGGAGAATATGGAAAGTAAAATTGCCAGTAGTTAAAATACCCAAAACATTGTTCTTTTTTATTAATGGACAATGGCGGGCTTCAACTCGCCATGGGGTTGGGGTGAGGGATTTCTGTGCTTAAAGAGAAATCTATCCATTTTACTATTTTAATGTCAGTAAACACATAACAAAATAAGCCAGAAATTACCTCCTTTGCAACTGTCTAATCTTATGATTAAAATTTTAGCTACCCAGTTAAAATGGGCACAGAGTACCTGGTATTTTCAAAATCCCTTAATAAACAAAAATAAACAAACTGACTGCCATCAAGTTGACTCCGACTTGTGGTGATCCCACGCGTTAACAGAGGAGAACTGAGCTCTGGAGGGTTTTCTCAGCTATAATCTTTGCCTTTTTTCTGTGGCATCACTGGGTGGGTTTGAATCACCAACCTTTCGGTTAGTAGTCTAGTGCAAATCATTTGCACCACCCAGGGGCCTTTGCTTCGTTAACGAAGTCGTGAGCAAAACACTCAGTGGCCATTGTAACAGGTCACAGGCTTAAGGTTGAGTCAGTGACTTGGGGGTCTAGCATGCCACACATAGGGGTCTTCCTTAGCATGTCCAGTCCCCACTAGGAGCCCAGGATGCCTGCCCTGCCTGGCTGAGCCCACCCTTTCTGTTACCCTAGGGAGTTCAAGCTCTCCTGCCGGGCTGTGGGCGTCCATCCACCCCTGGAGCTGTCCCACTACCAAATCAAGTTTGCAGCCACTGCCTTGTATGACACCTCCGTGACCACCCTGTACGTCATCAACTCCCACCTGAGCATGAACTCGCTGACACACTCAGTGCCCCGCATTGGCTCCCAGGACGTTGCCCCCGTGGGGCCCACATCTTTCGAGTTCCTACTGCCCCTGGACTCGCCCATCACCATCTCGCCGTCAGTGGGGACGGTGCTGCCTGGAAAGGTGGGTGCGGGCCCCACAGGCAGGTGGGGCGTGAGCTTTCCACTCTGACCACAGATAGTCACTGCGTGGCAGAGGGAACTCCAACCAAGCCCTCATCAAACTCAAGCAGGGCCGGGGCCTCCTTAGCCCTTGAGCACAGGGCCAGGGCCACCCTGGGCCATTGGAGAAGATCACCGAACCCTGAGCCCCCACTCACCATCATGGACAGCAGCCGACCCTCAGGCCCCCCTCCACCAGGGCAGCTGACCTCACAAGCACCTGGCTAAAAAGGTGAACTCTACCCCAGGCCACACAGCTGTTCACCTCAGCTGCCTCCCTCCCTCCCCCTGCTTTATGGGGGAGGGGGGGACAGAAGGATCATGGGCTGGCTCACAGACCCTCCAGCTTAACTGCTTACCTTCAAAAATGAGGTGACAGCTACTCTGAGGGCTTTGGAAAGGACTAAGCAAAACTGGCATGCAGGGTTGGGTAAGGCCTGGCCAGTGTGGCTCAGTCAACAGGAGGTATAAATCCACACCACTCAATTCCTCAAATATTACTGAAGAATGTCCCAGGAACCCCAAGGGGGGGTCTGGGACATTCTGTCTCTGCCTCTCTGTCTCTGCCTCTTTGTCTATCTCTGTGTCTATCGCTCTGTCTCTATGTCTCTCTTTCTCTCTGTCTCTATCTCTCTTTCTCTCTGTCTCTGTCTCTCTTTATCTGTCTTCCTGTATCTCCATCTCTCCCTCCACCAGATATACTGAATACTCACTAAGCACTTGGAGACCATGATGAGTGGCCCCCACGCTCTATCATGGAGGGAACATCTGGGGGGCAGATTGCAGAGAGAACAGATATAGACTTGGAGAGGCTAGAAAGTTGGGCAGGCAAGTTAGGCTAGAGAAACTGCCCAAGTTTCCTTGGCTCAAAATGAAGGTTCAAAGCAGGGCCCAGCCAGTTCCCAATCTGGGTTCACTGCCTCCATCACCAGGACCTTGCCGCATAGTAAGGTGGGCCTGGAAGTCCTGCAGGCAGCCCACCCCAATTCCAGGGCAGTGCTGAGGGTGGGCCTTCCTGGAGACATCTTGTAGGGGAAAGGTGACAACTGGCAAACTGGGATCAGAGTGGCAGGTGTGGGGTGTGCGAAGAGGACAGGGGCACCAGCAGGGCTGCCAGGGCCCCTGGGGTAGGATGGTAGCACCCAGGGCCATTCTCGCTGTCAAAGAGTAAGGTCTCTGAGTCTATTTGAAGCAAAAATAGAGTTTTATTTGGGGAATATAACAATTCAAATCGGGCAGCATTCAGGAAGAATTTCCAAAATGCTGTCTTTCTGGAGAGAAAGTTGAGCTTTTATACACAAAGTTATCGAAAAAATCTAAACCCACTGCTGTCAAGTCAATTCTGATTCATAGCGCCCCTATAGAGTTTCCAAGGCTGTAAATCTTTACGGATGCAGGCTGTCACATCTTTCTCCTGCAGAGCCACTGTTGGTTTCAAACTGCCAACCTTTTGGTTAGCAGTCCACTGCTTTAACCACCATGCCACCAGGGCTCCTTACACAAAGATAGGCATGACTAATTTCAGAAATGTTTCAAAAACAGTTTTTCATATCAGATAATCTTATCTCCTTCCAGAAGACCATATGCACAAAACATTCTTTTCAAGGACATTGCATTGTGTCACATGCTTCCTGGAACATTCTAAGCACATACATTACTTTCTGTCTCTCTCCCCTGCTTACTCAGAGTAATCTGGATTAACCCTTTATTGATAGCCTGGTCTTCAGCCATCTCAGCCTTGCTGAGAGCCTCAGTTAGATTTTTAGAAACTCTTTGTAATTCCCCCTTTTTGATCAAGAATTTCTATAGAAATTCTTAGATCACAAAGACCACTAAAAGAACAGTTTCTTCTGAATGGTCTTTTAATTGTGCTGTAACATAGATGGCTGCTTTCAAGCCTTTAAGACCCCAGACACTATTATGTTTTTATTCAGTAGCCAGACTCCATTTAGTATCTTCACCATGCCATTGCTTAGTCACTCTGCTTCTTGTGTTCTGATGGTAAGGGGCACCTGGAGTAGATAGGCCAAATTCTTTAGAGGAACATCTCAGCAGTACACAATGTGATGGAGTACTAGCATAAAAGCTTGAAAGTTCCAGAAACTTCAGTCTCCTCAAGATACATAATGCTTTAAATAACTTTAGGTCTGGTGGTATGACTGTAAAAGTTAGACACATAATGTGTAATACATTTAACAAGTTTTAGAACCAACATTATAATGATAAAAAGAATTAGTCCAGTTTGTAATAATGAGCATAACTAAGAATTAATGCCATTGAGTAACCAACTAAAGACATCAAAAAAGGAGAAGAAATTATTAGAAAGAGAAGTATAAAAACTAAATGAACCTTTATGTTATTAAAGAACAAAACTTACAAGTATGGAATAAGGCAAACAGCGTAAGGATAGCTACAATTATAAAACAAAGTCCATAAAGTTCAACAAGATACATGGAATCTTGTTACGTGATCTTGGGATTAGCTGTCTACTTCAGATGTTGTCTGGTTCTGGCATCCAGAGCATCTCAGGGTAATTTTTAGTTCCCCCGAGAGCTGGCTGGTCTACAGAGGCAGCTTGGCCTTTTTTCAGTTGTGATAAATGGATTCAGGATTTGACTTCTAGTTTTGGCAGCACGTGGGTTTGTGAGATAATTAGGTATGGTCCCTTTCAACAGGGTTCTAATGGGTCCTTTAATTGGTGTCTTTTCTAAGGTACATAGTCTCCTGAGATAAGATTGGGCAGATTTTGGGAGTCTGGCTTCTGGTTATCAAAGCCTTCTTTAACCTGTGACAATATTTTAACAATTCAGGTTGAAAAATGTGGAGTCACTATGAGCAACATAAGGGAGGACCATGGGCTTTCCAGTAATTATTCTAGACAGTAGAAGATTGAACATCAGCAATATTCTCATATAAACCTTATAGTAATTCTTTTAGTTTACTCAGTCCTATGTAGTTAATTTTGGTTCCATGTAATGCTGGATCAGTAGCAGTCTGAAAACCCCATCAGCTTCTGTATAAGAGTTCTAGAAATCTTGATTGAGTCTATTTTAGTTTAAATATTTTGGTCAAGCATTTTCAGTGAATCAACAAAGTAAAACTTATCTGCAAATGACAACTTAAAATGTCCATAGCTATAACAATAATAATTCTTAAAGTGAAAGACTTGATGGGAATTACAAAAATAATGCAAAGCCAAAGTCAATTAAAAAGAAACTTTAGACAAAAATCTCTAAACATAATGAATAACTTTATTTTCAAAGAGCTTCAGATATAACACGTAATAATCTTGAGACATAACGCTAAATAGATAGATATACTAAGAATATACTAAGATTATCAAATATCTAAACATTTGAATAATAATAAAGACCTTGTGGGTAAACATGTGAATTCCCTAGTTAAAACCATTGGCTTTGATGATGTGAGAGTCAAAGGAAACAAGTTGTAACCAAGTTAGCAATTAAAATAATAAAATTATCCACTTGTTGTCTAATATTACGACACATAAATTTTAATTCAAGAAAATTTGGTACTTCTGATTTGACAACATGATCATGTAATTCATAACATTAAATAAACGCTTTTTTAAAGCACTTTTCTTTTTACAAAACAGAAACAAATCTTTTTGTGGCTGTCCATGAAGTTTCAAAATAGGACTTTATCATAGGTCACTGAGGAACAATACTTGAGTTATTTAACTAAACATATTAAAGGTATAAAACTTAGTTTTTTTCAAAGCCATGCGGCTTGGTTCTTGACTCAAGAATTTATTCTGTCAGATTCTTGCCTTCAAGGCAGATTGCACAAAAAATAAGATTAATTCTTCAACCCAGTAATCAAAGAAAATTGTGTTATCTTAAAAGAGAGAAATTTAATTTTTCATTATTTGACCTCAAAAAATTCTTATAAATTAACCCATGGAACTTTTAGCTGCAGCAAATAAGAACTTTGACTATATCAAATAAATTCCCTTTTAATAAACTTTTTTTAGTTTTTTGTCTTTGTTATGTATATCTTATAGTACAACTCTTTTAGTGGCAAAAATGAACATACTTATTACCAGACCTAAATATATATCTTTTCTCTGGCATAAAAAGAAAGAGCGTATAAACTTCAATTATAACGAATATCTGTTAATTCAATTTAATATCAGTAAATTACCTTAAAATCTTGGAAATTCGTTTAAGCCTACATGCTACAAAATATAATTACTGTTGAAGTAAAGTTTGTTTAAATAGTTTATGTCTTAGTTATCTATTGCTGCTATAACAGAAATAAAGGTAGATAGCTTCAACAAACAGAAATTTATTCTCACAGTCAGTAGACTAGAAGTCCAAATTCAAGGTGCCAGCTCCAGGGGAAGTCTTACTGTCTGTGTCAGCTCTGGGAGAAGGTCCTTGTCATCAATCTTCTCCTGGTCTAGCAGCTTTCATCACAAGGATCCCAGGTCCAAAGGACACGCTCTTGTTCTGGCAGTACTTTCTTGGTGGTATGAGGTACCCTTATCTCTCTTCTCGCTCCTGTCTTTTACATCTCAAAAGAGATTGACTCAAGATACAACCTAATCTTGTAGATTGAGTCCTGCCTCATTAATGTAACTGCCTCTAATCCTGAGTCATTAACATCATAGAGGTAGGATTTATAACGCATAGGAAAATCACATCAGATGAAAAAATGGTGGACAGTCACGATTCCACCACTGAGAATCATGCCCTAGCCAAGGTGACACACATTTTGGGGGAACACAATTCAGTCCATAACAGATAGCATTTTTCTTATTTAAAAAAAAAAAAAAATTGCCATCGAGTCGATTCTGACTCATGGTAACCCTATAGGACAGAGTAGAACTGCCCCATAGGGTTTCCAAGCAGTGGCTGGTGGATTCCAACTACCAACTTTTCGGTTAACAGCCAAGCTCTTAATCACTATGCCACCAGGGCTCCTTTCTTATTTTAGACCTCATTAACATCCACATTATTTATCTTATTTTTCAATAACCTTCTAAAGATTTCTATTCTGCTAGGAAAGGTCTCTTGACTCTTTGTCCTTCTTTGCTATTTTCTTGGCAATAAGTGTAGCCTTCTTCTGTTGTTTTACAACCTTTCAGTAAGAACAACCTAGTAGAAAACCAAATTCCAGGTCTGCATACTATTTGATACTGAAGATTTTTAACAATCCATTAAATCTTAGATACCCTTCTACTTAATCTTCCTCTAACCTTCCACATCCATCCAGGATTTTGTGTTTGTATTTTTATTCTTGAAATAATAAAAATTACTCCTTTTGAGAATGAAGAACACAAAAGACAAGGAAAATATGAGCCCAAGAGACAGAAAGGGCCACATAAACCAGAGACGCCATCAGCCTGAGACCAGAATAACTAGATGGTGCCCAGCTACCACCAGTGACCGCCCTGATAGGGAACACAATAGAGAGTCCCAATGGAGCATGAGAAAAGTAGGGTGCAGAACTCAAATTCTAGTAAAAGGATCAGACTTAATGGTCTGAGACTGGAGGGACCCCAGAAGAAATAGTCCCTGGATTCTCTGTTAGCCCAAAACTAAAACCATTCCCAATGCCAACTCTTCAAAGATTTGACTGGTCTTTAAGACATAAAATAATACTCATGAAGAGAGTGCTTCTTAGCTCAAGTAGATACATGAGACTAAATGGGTAGCTCCTGTCTGGAGGCAAGATGAGAAAGCAGAGAGGGACAGGAGCTGGCTGAATGGACACAGGAAATACAGGGTAGAAAGGAGGAATGTGCTGTCACATTACAGGGAGAGCAACTAGGGTCACATAACAATGTGTCTATAAATTTTTGTATGAGAAACTGACTTAAACTGTAAACCTTCACTTAAAGCACAGTTTAAAAAAAGGAAAAAAATTACTCCTTTTCCTTAAACAAAACATATTTCATATAGTATTTAGCTTAAGTTAAAATCATTTGGAATGATCTATTTACAATCTTTTCTAATTTTTATTTCCATTGGCCAAATATATTTCACATAATAGTTAACATTTATTTAAACCAATCACTATTTATAACTCTGTCATGACAGGGCTTTTGGTTCACCCCACTTAACTCTTCTTATAGACTATGATTTTAGTGCTATTTTAATAGAAAGTACACTTCCCTTGTAATATTTTGCAGAAAAAGATAAACCAGTCTTTTCCCATCTTATGAATAAATCTAAAATTAATCTAATATTGAAAAAAATTAAAGATATTTCATTGTTTATTTTCAAACTCACTCTTTGCAGGTATTATAAACTAAGGCAAATAAAGTTCACTTCCTCTCAAGCCTTCTACAACTTACTACATACCCTCAAATTTTTACTATCTTCCATATTCTGGCACAACCAGACATTCTACTATAAGACAAAACTACTCTCTCTGTCCCCCCCCCTTAAAAATACCAGTCATTTTGCCTTCTCTCTATCCAGACTTGCATGTTCTAAATAAACCAAGCAATTATACCTTAAAAAAAAAAAAGTCTATAACAGTAATTTGTATACCCTTGTCTGAATGAATTTATTCTCATTAATTCCTGGGAATATTAGGACTATTTAATTTATATAAGCATTCATTTATCAATCAGAGTAAATTCTTTGAAGAAATACTATAATTTAATAATACCATCTGGAGGTAGAAATTATTATATTTTCATAACCCTGTCTTTTGCATTTTTTATAGGATCCTTTAGAGAAGTAATTTAGAATTTGTCCCTTTTTAATGCCTTGTTATACCAATTAAAATAAATAACCTATCCTTTTTTCAGTACACTTTTCAAATAGACTGATTTATGTCAAAATTTCTTGGAGTAGCTATTCTCAGAAAAGAAGACAACTGAGATTTTAGACAGCCTCATGAAAAACACTAGCCATGGCCTTCAACCTGATACAAGACAGATGCAACATTCTAGACTAAAGGTGAACCCTCAGAATAAAATGAAACAGAAAAAAAAAACACATAAACTCACCAGTCTTTGAGGCCATCTCAAAAACCAGGCTTATGCAATCCAATACAACATAAACAACTTAGTTTCTTAAAAATGTATATAGCAATTCTTGGGAGAGATCAGTTCAGAAAAACAGATCCTAGATAAACTTATTAATTTGCTAGTTGAAGACGGAAGGACCTTATTCAGACCCTTTGACTACAACTGAGCATTAAATAAAAGTTCTTTAAAAAAAAAAGACAATGCAAATGCGAACTTATTTGCCTAAAGTGATCACTGAGATATAAATTATATTTAGCTTATAGTGTTTTTGAACATGAACCCCAGATTAGCATCCCGGGGTGGGGGGTGGAATTCAGGCTCATAGGTTTCAGTTAGGATTTTAAATTCCTCTATGAATTTCTGAGGATCCTCTCAAGGGTTAGGAATTTCTTTTACTACCACAGAAATTTTGCTTCAGACCAAGGGGAAAAAGTAATCTGTGGAGGTTTGTTAGTGTCCTCCAGGTATTTTATCTTAAAAGGCATTTCAGAAACAGGTTTAGGCTCTTTAACAGGTTCCTTAGGAAAAAAGGAAGTTTAGACAAAGTGTTGTTAGAAGAGTAAGAGGGTAAAGGCGGGTATAAGGAAGAAGCAGCCGGCAAAGGGTCAGGTGATGTCAGAGCACCAGGGGTAAGTGAAACAGAAACCTGACTCTGGAGCTCCTTGTTTTGTTAACTTGGAAACAGTATCCTGCAGGGAAGCAATTTTGCTATGTTGGTGTCTTTTGGAGACCTCTAAATACCAATCAAAATAGCATCCCACTGTGATTGCTTAATTCAAGAACCTTTGCTTTCTAATTTACTGCACAGAAAAATTAATTTGGAGAGATCAAAAGATCCCCAATGTGGCCACTGATTTTCTAAATTGTCCCTGGTCATGTGATGCCAACTTAGACAAGAACAAGCATGTTACAAGATCAAAGTGCTTGTTCACAAAACAGGCAGGAATTCCAGATGGGACCTCCACCCGCAATTTGGCATTACCCATTTTTAGTCTCACAAGGACCAGACAATATTTGCTCAAAACAAATTCACCAGGACTGGTGACAGATTTCTGCAGAAACAAACCAGAAAACAGACTTGCAAGTACAAAGTGAAATTAATTTCACTCACCTTCGTGAAGACAAAACAGATCCCTCAATAATACTTGGAGAGCTTCAACTCAAGGGAACAGCTTGAAATCTGAGAGATTATTTACCTTAGATGACTCCCAAGCAGCGCAGAAATGGTGAGCCAAAAAACAGCTCTGCCCGTACCGGAAGCCCAAATCCCCGATGTCTCGGGGGCCACTGAAGATAATGCACCTTTGGATCCCACACATCTGACACCAGAAATGTCAAAGAATAAAGTCTCTGAGTCTATTTAAAGCAAAAGTAAAGAGTTTCATTGAGGGAATAAAACAATTCAAATTGGGCAGCATGCAGGAAAATGCTAATACCAAAATGCTATGTCCTTCTGGAGACAAAGTTGAGCTTTTATACACAAAGTTACCAAAAACCAAACCCACTGCTGTCAAGTTGATTCCGACTTATTGTGACCCTACAGAACAGAGTAGAACTGCCCCATAGGGTTTCCAAGGTTGTAAATCTTTACAGAAGCAGACTGCCACATCTCTCACATCTCTCTCCCACAGAGCGGCTAGTGCGTTCGAACTACCAACCTTTGGTTGGTTAGCAGCCAACCACTTTAACCATTATGCCGCCAGGGCTCCTTACACAAATGTTTCAAAAACAGTTCTCTTCATATCAGTTAATCTTATCTCCTTCCAGACCATCTGCGCAAACATTCTTTTTGAGGACGTCATGTTTGCATCACATGTTTCCTGGAACATTCTAAACACATACATTACTTTTCTTTCTTTCACCCCTGCTTACTCAGAGTGATCTGGATTAACCCCTTATTGACAGCCTAGTTATCAGCCGTCTTGGCCTTGCTGAGAGCCTCAGTTTGATTTTATAAACTCTTTATCACTGCTCTCCCCACAGAGGTGCCTGGTGCAGGTGGCCTTCCAGCCTGTGCTGCCTGAGGAGCTGGTGCGCCAGGAAGCCCTCCAGGTGCTGAGCAAGGAGGCTGAGGCCAAACCGGTTTGTAGGGAATGGGGAGGGGGGTAGGGAGAGGAGGGGCTGGGGTCAGGGGCTATTCTGCAGGGCTCTAGGCCCTGGCCTGGCTGTGGGGCTATGAGGCGCACTCCAGCACCTGACTCCTGTCTCTGTTGGGGACCTGAGACTCCTCATCTGTGAACCAGGGAATGAAAGTAGTCATCTGTTCAAAGGTACCGTGTGATATACTTCCCTTCTTGCAGAGGCAAAAGGCCAGCTCCTGCCCCAGCAGACCTGTGGTGGTCTCTGCATGCCTCCTACCCATCACCTATCTCCATCCCCCACACACTCACCTGTCCACTCCCCCACACACTCACCTATCTCTATCTTCCCCACACTCACCTGTCTCTATCCCCCCACATACTCACCTGTCTCCATCCCCCATACTCACCCATCTCCATCATTTGTCCTGTCTGCACCTGCCATCAGTCCCTCTCATGAAGCCGCTTAGTTTTCAGGTCACCATGACCTCCAAACCCATGGCTCCCGCAGCTCCTATGCTAGGCAGTTAGTCCAGGCCTGGATGGGGCTCTAGAGGAGCCCATAGGGGCAGTTCAGTGACTGCCAGGCTGAGGGTGGGGCATCAGGGCAGCCCCACAGCCCATCTCTCCTCCCCATAGTCCTGCAAGGACACGGTCACTCAGAAGAGGGACCTGAGGAGGCAATCCATCCCCTCCATGCGACTGCAGAACCGGGAGCGACAGTTCCAGGTCTCCACCTCCCCGAACCCAGAGCTGCAGAAGCAGGAGCTCAAGGCCAGGTGGGCCGAGAAGGGGCTGCCCTACCTGCTCCCCTCCAGGTCCCTCTGATGGGACACAGACCTGGCCCCATGGAGACCCTCCCCACAGACACAAGAAGCAACTCAACTGCTTAGAGCACAGGGTTGTACTGACTCACATGACTGAGAGATCAGGGCCACTGGCTTCAGGCACGACTGGATCCAGGCACTGCCTCAAGGCCCTCCGGGCTCTGCCTTCCTGGGCATCTGCCAACCCCACTGAGTGTCCCGGGCACGGCTTGGGGAGAGGCTGCTGCCAGCTCAGCAACCCTAGCCTTCCTAGTGTTCAGAGTGGACCCCAGGATGGTCTAATAGGCTTGGGTTACTTGACAGCCCTGGATCCATCCCTGGGGTCCCAGAACATGGCTCTCTGGTTAGGTGCCAAGGACACCTGCTCACCCCGTGGCTGACTCGACCAGGACCCTGGGGTCTGGGAGGAGGTCCCCACAGGAACCAGGGAAGGAGGTGGAAGAGCCAGCTGGCCAGACAAAACTCAGACAGTGTGGCCTCAGGCTGCTGCCTCTCACCACCCTGCCCTCTCCAGAGAGGCTGCTCTGAGCCCACGGCCTGCAGGGTGGGGCTGCTGCCCAAGCTGGCCTGTGCTTGGGAGGTAGGACCCAGCGCTGCCAGCAGGCAGTAGCAGGACACAAGCGCATTTTGCTGGCTCGTTCCAGTTCCGAAGAGTTCCAGGCTGCCCAGGCTGCCCTGGCCAGAGCTTTCAAGGGAAAGTTTGACAAGTTTGTGGTCCCCTGTGTCGTTGCCAGCGGGGACATCAAGGACAGGAAGGAAACAGAGACCATGAGCTTCAGGTGCGGGGCACCCAGGATGGGTGGGTCTGCAACAAAGCCACTGGGCCTTGTCTGCTCTGGCCTAGAGGCCACTCGGCCTGGGCAGTGCCTGGGGCTGGGGTGCCAGGGTGCCTGCCCACCCCACCTCACCCTGCCCTCAGCATGGCCTTCATCCCGGCACCCAGCCCTCAGAACACCCTGTACCTGGAGCTGTGGTGTCCAACAGTGGCACCGTCCATTGTGGTGACATCTGACAAAGGAAAGACCGTCTTTAACTTTGGGGATGTGGCTGTCGGTGAGTCCAGCTGGGCCAGGCTCTGGGGCCCACACGCACCCACACACCCAAGTCCCCACCTGCCCACGACTGCCCTCCACCTGTTTCAGGACACCGCAGCATAAAGAAGATCTCCATCCAGAACATCTCTCCTGAGGACCTGGCTGTATCCTTCCCTTGTAAGGCCCCGGCAAGAGCAGCTTACAGGATGGGGGCCCCCACACCAAGGCAGAGCCCGTAGCCCCCTCCTTGACAGCCGCTTTCAGGTGGAGTTCTCCGTGCTGAATCCCAACGGCCCCTTCGTCCTGCTGAACCCCTTCAACAAGCTGCCCATGGGTGAGACCCAGGTCCTGGGGCTGTCCTTCTCACCCCGTGAAAGCATCCTGGTGAGTCCTGGATGTCCTGGGCCAGAGCTGGGCCTGGGGGCTCTGCAGGGCTGCCTGAGTGCTCAGGCCACAGCTGAACAGGCCAGGCCTATGCCAAGACCTTGTCCCCTGTGGCCTGGGGGGTGTTTGCCTCCTGCTGAGGGTAGGGTCTCCTCAGGCCCAGGAGACACTGGACATCATTACCAAGAGGGGCACACTCACCCTCACCCTCCTGGGCACCGGTGTCGCCTCCGTGATCGTCTGCTCCATTGAAGGCGACATCCTCAACATGGGCTATGTGATAGCCAGGGAGTCTGTCTCCTCCACCTTCAAGGTGAAGCATACTCGGGCCAGCTGAGGCCTCCAGCCTCTGGCCTCCAACCTCCAACCTTCCTCGGGCAGTCTTGGGCAGGGCCACAGGGGACAGAAGCATTCCACTTAGAAGGGGTGAGCCCAGCCTTGAGAAGTGTGGGCTGGTCTGGCACAGGCAGGGTACTAGTTCCCTCCACCCATCAGCCCCTGGTCCCTTGTTCCCCAGCCCTTCCTTCCCCTGCCTCGGCCTCGGCAAGGCCATCACCTTTGCCTGGAGCCCCTTCTTCCACCCTCCTGCTTTGCTCTTAAACTCCCTCCTAGGAGCCTAGCTCCGGCAAGGCTCTCTAGGGGGGAGACCTCCATGAGAAGCCACCTGGCCTGTGGGCTCCCTCCCCTGCAGACCGTGGGCACGGTTTCCTGAGGGGCCCTCTGGAGATGGCAGGGGGTGAGGCAGGGAGACACTGCATGGAGGAGATGTGGGTGCTGGGACTTTTCCAGCCCACAGGCGGCCACCTGCTGCCCCTGCGCTGAGGGTAAGCGGCTGGAACTGAGGGACCCTGCCTGCGGCCCACCGCCCCTGCAGCTGCAGAACCACTCCTCGCTCCCCATCAAGTTCTCTATGAGGCTGGACAGCCTGTCCTGCACACGGAGGGAGGACCGGCAGCAGCTGCCACGGTTCCTAGTCTCAGACCAGAGGACTAACGTGGTCGGTGAGATCATGGGCGAGGCGGGGAGGGGGAGAAGGAGGGAGAGGAGAAGGAAGGGGAGGTCACAGGAGCAGGCAGGGAAACTGTGGGAGGGACCCAGCCCGCAGCGTGCAAGGGTGCGGGCTGTGGAGGAGGCACTGGGGAGAGTGGAGAGGGCGGGCAGGGGCACAGCTGGAGGGGGCGGGGCAGGATGGGGTTAAGCGGGTGGGAGGGTAAGGAGTCCGCTGTATGAGGAGCCAGATGAGGCAGGGGGACCCGGAGAGTGGCGGGGCGAGGCTGAGGGTGGGGGCTACCGGATGAGGGGGCAGGGTGATTAAGACGGTGGGGGCCGTGAGGCGTTTAGGAGAGGAATGGACAGGGTGGGTGGCCGCGCTGGCTGGGAGAGAGGCAGCGGAGGGACAGGGAGGGGCATGTCAGGCGCTGGCAGGGGATGGGGTGGCTCGCAGTCAGGCCACGCCCCGCCGCCCGCAGGCACTCAAAACCACAACGGGCAGAGCGTGTTTAGCGTGGTCCCAGTCGAGGGTGTCATCGATCCCGGGAGGGCGCAGGACTTCACCGTGACCTTCAGCCCGGACCACGAGAGCCTGTACTTCTCCGACCGACTCCAGGTGGTGCTCTTTGACAAGGTGCGCCCCGCCCACGGCCTACCCACGGGCCTGACGTGCCCACCCAGCACCGGGAGATCCCTACCGCCTGTCCGAAGCCCTCCGGCCCTACCTTGCATGCGACCGGCCGGTCTGGGGTAGTCAGAGTGGAGGGACTCATGTCCCATGTCCGACAGGGTCTGCACCCAGTCCTCTCAGTCCGGCCCTGAGCCCAGAATGGCAGGGACAGGCCCGCCTCCTCTGTCCCCAGAGAATCTCCCATCAGATCCTCCTGAAGGGTGCTGCCCGCGAGCACATGATGTTCGTGGAGGGCGGTGACCCCCTGGACGTGCCTGTGGAGTCTCTGACTGTGATCCCTGCCTTTGACCTGGAGCACAGAGAGGGTGAGCCCCATGAGGGGGGACAACACCTGCCCTACTCCTGTGCCCCTGTCCCTGCACCCTCTACCCCTGCACCCCCCTCCCCAGCCAGGCCCACCCTCCCTCCTCAGAGGCTGAGAAGCTGAAATCCATCCTGGTGACCCTGGAATACCTGCAGCTGGACACCAACACACCAGCCCCTCCTGCCACCCGTGAGCTGCAGGTGGGCTGCATCCGCACCTCCCAGCTGTCTCCGAAAAAGGTGACAGCCCCTCTGCCCTGGTGGCACTGCCCTGCCCTGGGAGCCCCCGGCTGTCTTTGGCTGGCCTGTCCTGCAGCAAGTTCAGGGAGGGCAGCCTGCTGGTCAGAGCTGAGAGGTGGGCAGAGTGGGTGCCCTATGCCCCCAGTCCCAGAACTCACCCACCCTCCATGCCCCACAGAGCGTGGAGTTCAGTCTGGACAGTGTCTCAGCCCTGCAGCACAAGGGCTTCACTGTGGAGCCCTCCCGGGGCTTTGTGGAGCGAGGCCAGACCAAGACCATCAGCATCTCATGGATGCCCACTGCGGACTTTGACGTAGGCTGGGGGTCTGCCCTAGCCCTGGGCCCAAGAACCCAAGCAGCCAGTGGGCAGACAACGGGGTGACATCCTGCCTCACCCAGGGAGGGGTGGCGTGGGGAAACCTGGGTGGGATAACACCCCTGCCCCACCCTGAGAGGGACGGCATAGGGGTCCTGGGCAGGGAGAGGTGGGCAGTACCTGGGGTGCCCAGTAGCTAAGGGCCCCTACTCCCCCTCTTCCAGCCAGATCGCCCACTCATGGTGTCCGCCCTGCTGCTGCTCAGGGGGGACGTGAAGGAGACCTACAAGGTCCTCTTGGTGGCCCAGGTAGTAACCAGCCCCTGAAGCACAGGAATCACTCCATAGAGCCCCTCCGGACCCTCTCACTCCCCTCGAAGCCCTTTCCCTCGGCCATGGGCCATGCAGAGCCTTGCTGAAGCCTGTCCACCCCCTGCTGGGCAGGTCCAAATGGGCAGGGAAGCCCTCAGCATTGCCCCTTAGACAGGATCTCAGCTCCACATACAGGGTTACTACTTCAAGTCCTGCAGGCTCCCAGCTATCCTGGACCAGCAAGCCCAGGGTCGGAGCCCCCCACCCCCCACTGGCACCTTGATACAGCCATCTGGCAGCCTGCTGGGACCCTGAGCCCCTGGGGCCACAGCCACCAGCACTGCCCAGCCCTAGGGGGCCACAGGGAATAGCCGGCCCACAGCCTGTCAATAAACTTCCATGAGCCACTATGTTCGCAGCAACCGAGTCATTTGCTGATAGGCGCAGAGCCCTGGGGGAGTGTGCATGCAAACACAGACACATACACACACACTCTTCAGTCCATCAAATAACAAATTAAGGAAGACTAAGCAAGAGCTTCTGGGAGGGTGGGGGTCTTGCTGGTCGCCGAGGGGAAGCCCAAGTCTGAAGCATCGGAGCACAGCAGGCAGGGCTAGAGCTGAGGGTTGCCCAGGACCGGAGAGGCCCAGGGAGGAGTGGCCAGGGGCTCCAAAGCCTTGAGACAGCACCTAGGCCTCAGGCTCCTCCTGAGGTGCAGAACTCCACAGTGACCCTGAGCAAAGGTCAGAAACACACCTTGGCTCATGTCTTCACACCAGAGCCCAACCGGGGTTCAGGGAGAGACCCAGCACCTGTTTTGAATTTCCACAGGGCTGACCTACCCTGTCCAGGAGAAGATGCTCCTTTAAGCTCAGAGTAGGGAGAAAATTTGGCTAGTGAAAACCTTAGGAATAGCAGTGGAACTTTGTCTGATATACTGTGGGAAGATGAGCCCCTCAGGTTGGAAAGCACTCAGAATACGACTGGGGAAGAGCTGCCTCCTCAAAGTAGAGTTGACCTTAATGACGTGGATGGAGTCAAGCTTTCAGGACCTTCATCTGCTGATGTGACATGACTCAAAATAAGAAGAAACAGCTGCAAACATCCATTAATAATCTGAGCATGAACTGTACGAAGTATGAATCTAGGAATATTGGAAGTCATCAAAAATGAAATGGAATGCATAAAGGTCGATATCCTTGGCATTAGTGGGCTGAAATGGACTGGTATTGGCCATTTGGAATCAGACAATCATATGGTCTACTATGCCAGAAATGACAAATTGAAGAGGAATAGCATCACATTCACCAAACAGAGCATTTAGAAATTTATCCTAAAGTACAACGCTGTCAGTGATAGGATAATATCCATATGCCTACAAGGAAGACTAGTTAATATGACTTTTATTCAAACATACACACCAACCAAAGATGAGGAAATTAAAGATTTTTACCAACTTCTGCAGTCTGAAATTGAGCAAACATGCAATCAAGATTCATTGATAATTACTGGTGAATGGAATGTGAAAGTTGGAAACAAAGAAAAAGGATCAGTAGTTGGAAAATATGGCCTTGGTGATAGAAATGATCCCATGGTAGAATTTTGCAAGACAAATGACTTCTTCATTGCAAATACCTTTTTTCATCAACGTAAATGGCAACTATACACGTGTACCTCACTGGATGGAAAACACAGGAATCAAATCAACTACATCTGTGGAAAGAGATGATAGAAAAGCTCAATAGCATCAGTCAGAACAAGGCCAGTGGCTGACTGCCAAACAGGCCATCAATTACTCATATGCAAATTAAAGTTAAAGCGGAAGAAAATTAAAACAAGTCCGCAAGAGTCAAAGTATGACCTTGAGTATATCCCACTTGAATTTAGAGACCATCTCAAGAATTGATTTGACACATTGAACACTAATGACCAAAGAAAGGATGAGTTGTGGGATGACATCAAGGACATCACACATGGAGCAAAAGGTTATTAAAAAGATGGGAAAGAAAGAAAAGACCAAAATGGATGTCAGAAGAGACTCTGAAACTTGGTCTTAAACATAGAGCAGCTAAAGTGAACGGAAGAAATGATGAAGTAGAAGAACTGAACAGAAGATTTCAAAGGGCAGCTCAAGAAGACAAAGTATTATAATGTGCAAAAACCTGGAGTTAGAAAACCAGAAGGGAAGAACACACTTGGCATTTCTCAAGCTGAAAGAACTGAAGAAAAAATTCAAGCCTCGAGTTGTAATTTTGAAGTATTCTATGGGCAAGGATCCTTGGTGGCGTAGTGGTTAAGAGCTCAGCTGCTAACCAAAACGTTGGCAGTTCAAATCCACCAGCTGCTCTTTGGAAACCCTATGGGGCAGTTCTACTCTGTCCTATAGGGCCACTATGAGTCAGAACGGACTCAACGGCACCTAACAACAAGACAACATGGGCAAAATATTGAACAACACAGGAAGCATCAAAAGAAGATGGAAGAAATACAGAGTCAATGTACCAAAAAGAATTGGTCGACGTTCAACCATTTCAGGAGGTAGCATATGATCAAGAACAATGGTATTGAAGGAAAGAAGTCCAAGCTGCACTAAAGGCACTGGCAAAAAACAAGGCTTCAGGAATCGACGGAATACCGATTGAGATGTTTCAACAAATGGATACAGCACTGGAGGTGCTCACTCGTCTATGCCAAGAAATTTGGAAGACAGCTAGTTGGCCGACTGACTGGAAGAGATCCATATTTGTACCCATTTCAAAGAAAGGTGATCCAGCAAAATGCAGAAATTATCAAACAATATCATTAATATCACACGGGAGTAAAATTTTGCTGAAGATCATTCAAAAGCAGTTGCAGCAGTACATACAAAGAGGAACTGCCAAAAATTCAAGCCTGAATCAGAAGAGGATGTAGAACGAAGGATATCATAGCTGATGTCAGATGGATCTTGGCTGAAAGCAGAGACTACCAGAAAGATGTTTACCTATTTATTGACTACGCAAAGGCATTCGACTGTGTGGATCATAACAAATTATGGATAACACTGTGAAGATAAGGAATCCCAGAACACTTAATTGTGCTCATAAGGAACCTGTACATAGACCAAGAGGCAGTCATTCGAACAGAACAAGGGAACACTGCATGGTTTAAATTCAGGAAAGGTGTGCATCAGGGTTGTATCCTTTCACCATACTTACTCAGTCTGGATGCTATGCAAATAATCTGAGAAGCTGGACTATATGAAGAACGCAGTATGAGGATTTGAGGAAGACTCCTGAGCAACCTGCGATATGCAGATGACACAACCTTGCATGCTGAAAGTGAAAACAACTTGAAGCACTTACTGATGAAGATCAAAGACCACAGCCTTTAGTATGGATTACACCTCAACATAAAGAAAACAAAAATCCTCACAATTAGACCAATAAGCAACATCACGATAAACAGAGAAAATATTGAAGTTGTCAAGGATTTCATTTTACTTGGATCTACAATCAACGTCCATGGGAGCAGCAGTCAAGAAATCAAACGATGTATTGCATTGGGCAAATCTGTTGCAAAAGACCTCTTTAAAGTGTTGAAAAGTCAAGATGTCACTTTAGGACTAAGGTGCACCTGACCCAAGCCATGATATTTTCAATCACCTCATATGGATGCAAAAGCTGGAAAATGAATAAGGAAGACTGAAGAATTTTTGCCTTTGAATTATGGTGTTGGTGAAGAATATTGAATATACCATGGACTTCCAGAACAACAAACAAGTCTGTCTTGGAAGACGTACAGCCAGAATGCTCCTTAGAAGCCAGGATGGCTAGACTTTGGACATGTTATCAGGAGGGACCAGTCCCTGGAGAAGGACACCATGCTTGGTAAGGTAGACAGTCAGCAAAGAAGAGAAACACTCTCGACGAGATGGATTGACACAGTGGCTGAAACAATGGGCTCAAACATAGTGATGATTGTGAGGATGGCGCAGGACTGGGCAGTGTTTCATTCTGTTGTACATAGGGTCACTATGAGTCGGAAGCTAACGATAGCCCACCCTGCCCAGGAGAAGATGCTCCCCTGAGCTCAGAGTGGTGCCCACTCCCACCCTATCCCACCTCACCAACCCTGCTCACTGGAGGGTGGCTTATTGGACATGGGCCCTACAGAGCCCAGTCAGCCTGATCCCCTGTGCACAGTCTCCCACCCCACCCCATGCAGCCACCACAGCCTGTGTAGCTTTCTCTGCAGGTATGGAGGGGGTGGCTTCTGAGGCCTTTCTTGGGCCCTCCACCGGGCCTTCCCACTCAGCAGGGTGGGGGAGAGGGGGCCTTCAGGGCTGTTGCCCTGACTCTTGGTGCCCTTGGGGCCTGGAGGCCAGTGACCTTGACCCTGCGGTGGTTTGGCAGGACCGTCTGCCAGGCGGAGGCTTGGGCTTTAAAGGCAGCAGACCATGTCCGCTCCTGCCCCCACTGGGGCTGACCAGCTGAAGACCAAGGGCCTTTCCTCACCAGAGAGGATGAGAAGGTAGGGCCCAGGCCCCAGGTGAGGTGCCCCAGAGGGCACTGTCCCCACCTCCTCCCCAGGCCGTCTGCTCTCCCACTGCTCACTGGCTGGCCCACTGGCCGGCCATGGGCCTGTGCAAATGCTGCTTGAGGACAGAGGCTCCCCCTTTCTGACTCCTGGCCTTGGGCTGGATTCCACTGGTTCCTCCTTCTTCCCACCTGTGCTGGTTCTGGAAGGCCAAGCTCAGTTCAGATAGGAAGAAGAGGAGGGGAGGCCAGGAACCAGGTGGGCTTGGGGGCAGTGGCAGGCCCTGGGAGGGCACAGTGAGGCTAGGGAGGGAGCAAGGGCCTGGCAGGTACCAACACCTACACGGGGCAAAGCAGAGGGGGCTAGTCTGAGGACACTTTCCTTCCTGTCGGGCGGGGGCGGGGGGGGGAGCGACACAAACAACACCCACGGGTTGTGGGCTCCTCCCACCCTTCCCACCCTTCGCAGACAAGACCAGCCCAGCTGCCCCTGGCCGCTGGCCCCTCAGCCTGACCAGGAACTGCTGTGCCGGGGATCCCAGGGGATCCCAGGGAGCCGAGGGCATACCTACCTGCCTTTAGGGCCTGACCGTGCGGGTGGGGGTAGGGGAGAGGTCAGGGCCCTCCGAGAGGAAATGGCCCCACGCCCTCAGGGAAGAATGAGAAGGAGGGCTCCGGGCAGAGGGGAGGTGCATGCAGCCACAAGGCTGGGTTGGATCCTAGGCCCCAAGGGCCAGGTCCTCAGCCACCACTTTCCCAACGCTGGGCGTGGCCTCCTGGGCTCCGGCGGGGGGCTCCACAGGCGTCATGGGACGACCGCGTTTGGAGTGCTCCGCATCTCGACTGTTAACCTCGAGTAGTTTGCGGTGAACGCAGCCGTGCGGCTGGTTCCATAACATTTGTCCTCGCCGCCACCTCAGGACGGGCCCCAGGGGCGCCTGGACCGGTCGAGGGGGGAATCGCCAGCCCATCTGGAGGTGTGCCCACCCCACGATCCTTGGCGAGCGGGAGGACTGTAGCTGCGGACTAAATAGATGGGGGCGGTACTACGTGCAGCCTCCATTGGATGGGGCCTCCGAGGGCGAAGCCTCCATTGGGAGGACTTCAGGGGCGGGGCCCTTGGTGGGCGGAGACTGCGGGGCTAGGCCTTCGAGGGGCGGGGCCTCCATTGGGCGGGCCTCCGGGGGCGAAACCTTCTGTGGGCGGAGACTCCGGGGGGCGGGGTCTCCGGGAGGGGCCGTCCGGTGGGCGGGGCTCCAGGGCGGGGCCTCCATAAAGCAGCTCGGCGCCCGCTTTCCCGTCCCGCGGTTCCGGAGGATGGCTCTGGGCAAGCCGGCGGCCCGCGGACTCCTGTTGCTCCTGCCACAGGTGGGTCAGGCCGCAGCTACGTTTGGACCCCGCAGGGCGGGTCTGCGCTCGGGCCGCGACCCCGCCCCGGCTCACCCCTGTCTCCACAGGTGGCGCTGGGCTTCGCGGACGGCAGCTGCGACCACTCAGACCAGTAAGTGGGCGGGAGGGTCCGGGCGCCTGGGCTGTGCCGGCCCCACCTGTGGGAGGGGTCGGGCGGTGAGGTCGGCGCCCGGTGCCCCGCCTGCTCCAGGTGCCGCCGTCCCCGCAGGTGCCCGCCCCAGGCCCGCTGGAGCAGCCTGTGGCACGTGGGGTAAGTGGAGGCGCGGAGCCGCCGGTCAGCTGATAAGGCAGCCAGGGCGGGAGAGAGCCCGTGGGTCAGGCCTGCCAGGCCCCCACCAGACCAGACTCCCAATCCTGGCCCCCTGCGCTGGCCCCAGCGCAGAGGCGATGCCAGCACTGCTCCCCACAAAGGGAAGGTGCTGGGGCCCTCACCTGCGTCCTGGGCAGACCCTCACCATCAGGGCAACCTCAGAGCCACTGCCACCACCCCCATGTGGAACCCAACCTCAGGTGGCTGAGGTATGAGTCTTACCCTAGCAGCCTCTAGCACCCCTCCCTCCCCTCCTCCTTTGCCCCTGTGGGTGGCTTCTGTCCTCAGTCATCTGGGCACAAGGACTGTGCAGCTGCTGGGGACACTATGTCCTGGGAGTGAACCCAAGGCCACCTCTAGCCAGCCCTAGAGACAGCCGGGCAGGCTCCTCGGGCAGCTCAGCCAGGGAGGAAGCCTGGAGGGATACTCTGGTTCTTTCTCCTGTCATGGGCAGTGTGGCTGTGCCTGCCCCGGGGAGCAGGGGGCCAGTGACCACGGTCAGCCCAGCGGCAAGGCCTTGCTCCTTCCACCAGGCTCGTCCTGCTCGCAGTCCTCCTGCTGCTGCTGTGTGCGGTCACAGCCAGCTGCGTTCGGTTCTGCTGCCTCTGGAAGCAGGCACACCTGCCGCCACCGCAGCCCTGTGACCTAACGGTCATCCCTGTGGACAGCGACAGCCCTGTGCACAGCACAGTGACCTGTGAGTGCTAACAGACCCAGGCTGCCTGCACGAGTGGGAGCTGAGGGCTGAGCTCTGCCCTGGCTGACTCCCTTCTGGTTTCCACAGCCTACAGCTCCGTGCAGTACCCACTGGCCATGAGGCTGCCCCTGCCCTTCTGGGAGCTGGACCCCGACACCGTGGCCCCACCTGCCTACAGCTTGTATGTCCTGGAGCTGCCGCCCTCTTATGACGAAGCGGTCAAGACGGCCAAGCCTAGCCACCAAGAGCCAGCCCCCTGCCTGAGGCCCAACCCCCTCCCAGGAACCCCCTTCTCAAGCCCCAGCCCCTTCCCTGGGGCCTCAGGCCTAGAGGCCACTCCAGTGCCCCAGGAGCTGGCTGAGCACCTTCAGCTGTAGCCCTGGCACCCCAGCAGGGCGGACAGCTCTCTTGGAGCCTTTGGACCAAAGTCTCCCACTGCCTCCCACCACCTCGTGCCAGCCGGTCCCCACCACCTTCCGTCCGGGAAGGCTAGCGTCCAGCACATTGCTGCAGCCCAACCTCGTTGCTATGTAACGGCCAGCAATGGGAAGGCCGCCCACCCCACCCTGGGCAAGTGGCTGCTTTGCCCTGGCCCCTGGTCACTCCGGCAGGCCCGAGCCCCAGGAGCACCCTGCCAGCTGTGACGTTTACAGCTTTTAGGAAAGAGAATAAAGTTTGTATCTAAGTGTCCTCTGCCAGTGTGGAGAGGGCTTGGGAAGGCAGGCTGGAGTCCCATGGGCTGCAGATACATGGAGCTTCCACCCAGGCACCAGCTGCCCTGAGTGCCACAGCCCAGAGCCAGGAGGGGATGTCAGGTGTCCCAGCAGAAATGACCCAGCACAAGTACACCCAAGTGACTGGGCAGGAAACCCTCTACGCTTCCAGGCCCAACCTCACAGCCATTGCCCCTCCCCACCTTGGACAGTGAGGTGCACACAAGAGTCAGGACAGACATTTATTGGACACCAAGCCAGCTGGGGTGGGGAGGGCAGTGACAGCTGCTCCTACTGAACCAGCTTGAAGGACTCTCCGGTCATCATGGCCACAAACTCTAGGGAGCAGAGGAACAGGTCGGTTGCCTGACCTGGCCCTGGCTGCTGGGCCCCACCCATCCCCCCAGCTCACCCTTGTAGTCGATGGTCCCATTCCCATCCTTGTCGGCCTCCTTCATCATCTGCTCGGCCTCTACCTCACTGAGGGGCTCACCCGCGTTCATGAGCACATACCTGCCAGACCCCCACATGGAGCTGAGCCTTGGCCAGCCGGCTGGCCCAAGACCACCCGCCCAGCCTGACCAGCCCTCCCCCAGCTGCCCACAGGACCATACTTGAGCGCGTTCCAGTCAATGTAGCCCTTGCTCTCCTTGTCAAAGACTCAGAAGGCCGCCCTCAGCTCACTCTCCTGGTTCTGGGCTTTCTTGTGGTAAATGCCCATCAGCACCAGGAAGCCGTCGCAGTTGAAAAACCCTTTGTCTGCAAGGGGCCGCATGAGGGGAAGGCTGGGCCCCCTATTCCCCCCATCCTCCCACCCCCATGGGCTCCATCACTTCCACGCTCACATACACAGGTGCCCCCTCCAGCTGCCCACCCACCCTATCACCCTGGCCTCATTGTCTCTGTCCACGTCCTTGGCCATAGAGGCGAGCTCGCTCTTGGTGGGATTGATGCCCAGCAGACTCATGAGCTGCTCCAGCTCTCCCGTCTTCACCTCTCCATTGCCTTCCTCGTCCAACATCTCGAACACCCCCTTGTACTCCTTGATCCGTTCGGCTGTCAATCTCTCCGTCTGTGGGGCACACACTGCCCCCCTCACCAGGGAGTCCAGGGCCCCTGCCAGACCTCGGCCGCCATCTATCCAGGGGAGGGTTGGGGGCCCAGGAGACATGGTGCAAGGTGCCCCTGCTCTTATCCATCCACTTTTCCACCCTAAGAACCTGTGGTTAAAAAAAAAGGAGGCCCCCCCCGCCTCCGCCCATCCAGGGCCCAGGCAGTCTTCCAGAGGAAGGTGGCCCATGCAGTGAGTGTTGAGGGTCAGCAGGATCACCAGGCAGCTTAAAGGGGGAAGGGGCCAGGTGTGGGGAGCTAGGTGTGGAGGGGCCAGGGTGCAGGTCTGTGGTACGAAGAAGCAACAGGGCTGCAGGGGCAGGTGAGCCAGGCCCTGGGGCCGAGGTGATGGGGCCAGTGAGAAGAGATGAAGGATACCTTGGACTAGGTCAGGGGGAGCCCAGCCCAGGCAAGGGCAAAGCTCTAGGGAACGGAGGGAGTCCAGGACCTGGCCACCCCTGCCTGCCACCGCCTCTGAAGTGGGTCATGGGAGAACATTCAGAGAGGACTATTCCACCCCAACCCGGGATCACAGCCCTCACCGGGTCCTTTTGGGGTTCCTATGGAGGCTGCCTCACCTCCGTGCATTGGCCCCTTCCCCAGCTTCCCCCATTTCATGGTCCCAGCTCTGGCTCAGATCACCACCCACTTGCCCACAGGCTCTGGGGCCTGGGAACGGCCTTACCATGTCTGTAGCTGCCTGCGGCCACTGCAAGGGCAGAGGCACAGGTTTGCTGTGGGCAGAACACCTAGACAGGGGTGGCTGTGGGGTTTCAGCTGGGCCTGTCTGGGGTCCCTGGGGTCCAGATTCCAAGAGCCTTTTATGGCCAGGGAGATCCTTTGGCCCTATTTTGGGATGGGCTCATGCCTTCCCCACACAGCCCCTTTCTGGCTGTCCTCAGTCTGGGCATGCCCTAGCCCCAAAGCTCCCCCTCAGACCCTGGACCCCAGCCTCAGCCCTCCCAGGGGTCTGGGCAGGGCAGACTGTGTGGGCACCAAGGGCCAGCCGAGAGCAGATGGCAGGGAGAGGGGCAGGGGGTGGTCCTCAGGGCCTTTGCACGGCTGTTCCCTCTTCACCACGTCATCCCTCATCTGAATCTACTTCCCTGGAGCACCCCCCCCCCGCCCCGATTCTGCTGCAGGACCCCCATCACAGCCTGTCATTTCTTGTTTATAAGATTTTTTGTTGGAAGTCCACTCTAGCCAGATGGACCCTGATGGCCTGAGCAGGGTTGACCCTCATGCCCCCAGAGCCCAGCACCTGATGGTGCCAGCCCATTGCAGGAGGGACTAGGGGCCACAGTCCAGAAGGAAATGGATCTGGGCCTGGGCTGGGGGTGGGATGGGGCAGACAGGACAGAGCTGGGTTGCAGACGGAGGCCAGGTTGGCTCCCTGGGCGCTTGGGCTATTTTGGGGTTTCTCTGGGAAACCTGACCGCCTCCACTGTGAGCAGAAGAGCTGGCCCCAGGGAGCAAGGTGAGGTGGTGAAGAACAGACATCGCCACGGGACCCATGCATGCACACGAGGACCCAGTCTCCTTCAGACACATGCGCATATACATGCACACGCCCACACACATGGACTCACTCTCCTTCGGACACATGCACACACGCATGCACAAACATACATATGCACACTGATCCCTGCCCTGTCTGCATCTAATGGACCATCATTGGCAGGTACCCTGGGCTCCCCAAGCTTCCTTCTAGGTCCTTCTTGCCCTCATCCAGGCCATGGGTGTGAGGCCTGCTGGGCTGGCCAAGGTGCTCAAAGGTTTGGGGGTGCAGGTCAGGGCGCTCATGGGGCTGGGGGGGTTCTCCCACTTCCCCACCTGTTCCCCACCTGGGGTAGTCACAGACCAGGACCCCACCTAGTTCCCCTCATCCCTGTGCATGGCCCCCAGAGTCACACATCCCCAGAGAGAGGCCATAACTGCTGGAAGAGTCTGAGCAGGTGAGGCGCCTGGCATCCGCCAGCCCAGCTCCCAGCCTGCCAGGAACCACAGCCATGGGGACATTTCCTGCTGAGGCCCGGGCCAGCTGCTGAGGCCACAAGATTTGTGCTGACAGACACAGGGCGGTTACAGGAGGTGCCGGGCCTCAGGCCAGGAGCCGCCTCTACCCTGGGCATCACCCACTGGGCAAGCGCTGGAGTAGGGGCCAGCTCGCGGGGGCCCCCCTCCTTCAGCCTGGTCCCTCCCTGGCCATAGTTCCCCCTGGGCCAAGGGACAGCAATCCTGCACTTAACATTTTCCCCAAAAGGCATGGTTCCAGAACGTCATGGTGCCCAGCGTGGGATCCACCATGGGTTCCTGGTCCCAGGACACCCAGGGGACATGGAACAGGCCAGCCAGCGGGGCTGCAGAAACACGGGGGACTGCTTTGATCACTTGACACTGGTCAACTCTGCCGACATCTTTCCCCTTACGTGTCCCTCGCAGCCCAATGGATGGGGAGGTGAGGACTCTGCTCACTGTCTTCCTAGACCTTTATCTTCTGACATTCCTGGTTCCAGACATCTGGGTGGCCTTGCAGTTTGAATACAAAGCTGTGATTCCTGGAACCCAAGTTAGCACAAAGGCAGCCCCCCCAACCCTGATGCTCCAAAGGGGGGAGATTCAAATGTGGCCCCACCACTCGGTGACCGACTCTAAGGTGGTAAGAGATTTCCCCACTCCTTTCTCTCAAAAATCCCAAAACAAGAACAGGAATGGGAAGTAAAACAGCGTTTCAATGAAACTAGGTGATATCTGTCACCCCAAACACAGCAGGTGAAGAAACCCCAATGGGATGATGGAGGACTCAGCATAATTGGAGGGGAGCCCCAAGGGCCTGGAGAGAAAGAAGGTTACTGGAGAGATGGGACCCAGGCCCTCAGGGGCCAGGAAGGCTCCAGGCACCTAGGCAGGTGACCCAGAGGAAGGAGACCAGATCAACAGGGCCACCCCCATGGTAGGGCACACAACAGCTGTCCTCTGGAGCAACTGGACTGTGCATGAGAGCGGCCTCTGGGCTGGGATATGAGCCTGCCTCTGGACAGTCAGGCTCAAGGAAGGTGGCATGTGCAGCCACGGGACCACAGCCCTTCCCCACCCAGCTCTGAGCTTAAGCCAGCGCCTCCCCTAGGATAGGAGAGCAGTGACACTTTCCTAGAGAAACTGAGCCTGCAGGTAGGCGGTTCACAAATACTACTGCTCCACTGGGGGCCCCCACCCCTCCAGGGCAGCCTGGCTGCAGACCCCCCTTACCTGAGCCAGGAGGAGAGAGGAAGCAGCAGCCTCTGTGGCCCCACATGGGACCCTCTGACGGGTATCTCACTCCCGAGCACCCCACCGAGTGGACTCAGGCCTCCTGCACTGAGGTGTGACTTCCCTTTCTGCCTGTTCTTGCCTCCACCCCTTCCCTTTCACAGGGCTGACCCTAACACAAAGCTCTTAACCCCAAACTCCATCTCAGTGTCAGTTTCCAGAATACCCAAGCAGCCACAGTTGGTACCAGGAGAGAGAGTAGGGAGTAAGAAGGAGTGCGGGAGCTGGATCCCTCACTGCCAAGCTGCAGCAAAGCCCCCACTGGCAGAGAGTGGAAGGGAAGTGCTAGGAAGTCTGATGGCTGTTGCCAAGCACGGCTGATGCTTTCCAGAAAGGTAGCAAACAGTGAGGGCAGGCAAGTAACATGCATTTGAAAGCCAGGTGAGAATGCCAGGTGTGAGCGCCAGATGTGGGCACCAGTGGGCCTCTGGTTTCATACAGCTTCTTTGCACTCCACTCCCACAGCAGGAGGGCAGAGAAGCCAAGGCCTAAGTCAGGACTTCAAAGAGCAGCCGACCTCCAACAATGGTTAAAGGTCCACCCAAGGCAGGTGTGCTAGGCCAAGGTCAGGGCCGTGGCCAGGAAAACCTAAGTCCCCGACACATGGGTGGGGACATTTGGGTGGGTACTCCAAAGGCACTCCCCAGAATCCTCTGAACCTCAGCACCTGCAAGTTTTGCTCCCTTCACCCTGTGAAAGAAAATGGAAATCCTCACAACTGGGCCCATAAACAACATCATGATAAATGGTGAAGAAATTGAAGCTGTCGAGGATTTCATTCTACTTGGATCAACAATCAACACCCATGGAAGTTGCAGTCAGGAAATCAAATGACACATTGCATTGGTCAAATCTGCTGCAAAAGACCTCTTTAAAAGTGTTAAAAAGCAAAGATGTAACTTTGATGACTAAGATTCACCTGACCCAAGCCATGGTATTTTCAGTCACCTCATATGCATCCAAAAGCTGGATAATGAAAAAGGAAGACCAAAGACGAATTGATGCATTTGAATTATGGTGTTGGCAAAGAATACTGATTATACCATGGGCTGCCAGAAGAGTGAATAAACAAGTCAGACTTGGAGGAAGTACAGCCAGAATGCTCATTAGAAGGGAGGACGGTGAGACTTCTTACTTACTTTGGAAATGTCATCAGAAGGAGAATCGCTGGAGAAGGACGTCATGCTTGGTAAAGTAGAGGTTCAGCAAAAAAGAATGAGACCTTCAACAGGATGGCTTGATACAGTAGCTGCAATAATGGGCTCAAATATACCAATGATTGTGAGGATGGTGCAGGATTGGGCAGTATTTCGTTCTATTATACATGAGATCACCTTGAGTTGGAGCTGACTCAAAGGCACCTAACAATAACAGCCCTGCGAAGGGCTGGTACCCGCACCCCCCACCAGCAGAAGACAGTGGGGAGGCTCTCTCCCACCCCTACCCCGACCCAAAGAAATATTTGTCCCTTTGGGACCTCCACCTGCCCTCTTGGCCACGAGGCTGACAAGGAGGTTTAGTGGCAGCATAACCCAGCTGGGGACATGCTGGCCTAATAAGAGTTCGTCCCTGCAGAAGCTGTAGGATTTGCAGCTCCACTGGCAAGAGCCGGGGGGCCCGATGGGGACAGGATATGAACGTCTCCACTGAGGGAGCTAGAGCACACACTGGAGGCCACCTCTCCATGCACCCAGTGGCTTCTCCTTGCCAACTTCCTTCTCACTGACAACTTCTTACTGCAGCATCTGCCCA